ACGATAAAAAAATATATACCCGTACTATTTCTCTTAAAAGCGAACGTTGTTAACAGGTCGCCGATGATTATGCAAAATTGGAATTCACAAATTTTCAAGTTTGAAATGTTTGTTGAAGAAATTAATGCTTAGGCAGATATAGCAAATAAACAAAGGAACTATCTGAGATTAATGGGGCAAATCTAGCAAGGTGTAAGTTTAGAACAAGGAACTTCACGTATATCGTTTTGTGTCTGGTTTAGCTTACGGTAAAGATTAATGCTACAGCAAGAATTGGGGCGTTAGTTTAGAAATAAAAAGAAAACTTCAGGTTCAGTATCGTAACTATATATCTACATATACTGTAAAGTACGATCGTTAAATTTTGCGTTCGGTGATCCAGGACAGAAAGTTGAGAAAGGAAGTTTAGGTATACTGTTTACTAGCTCGTTTCGTTAACCGCATCTCTAACAAAGTTATATGAAATTTCCTAAACTACATTTGGGATTATAACTTTATTTAAAAAAGTTTCAAACGAAGTTTTAACAGTGGAACAAGATTTGTATCTTTCATACCAGCTTAATATTTTGACAATGTAACAATAAGAGAAAACCATCGAGAGATTTTTAAATTAATAAAAAAAAGAGGAAAGTTTGGAAATGGAGAACATGATGGTTCCAATCGATTTTGTTCCTCTTGTGACAGAATCCATTGGAAGCATAGAAAAATCCGTCTCTTGTTTATGATCGATCATTTTTCACGAGTGTATCCGGAAAGTTTGACCGTCGTCGTATAAAAACTTTCATATGACAATGGTCTAGTGGGATCCGAAGCGAATTTCTGTTATCTATTCGGATTGATTTCGCGCGAACGATGCAAACAACCATCGGTTCGTTCTACTTTTTCTCCTATCTTAATGTTTCCTATACTAAACCGAACTTTGTTCTTCTTTATAAATCGTCACCCCGTCGATGGTTCGTTATCCAAAGATTAATTCACTTGGGAATATCAATTTAAAATAATTGAGAAAATATCAAAGGAGAATAATGGTGAGTTGATTATCGAAAATGATCGGTGTCCCTTATGGGGTTCGGTTGAAAAACCTTCCATTAACACCGATGACGTAGCAATGCATCTTTTCATGAGCGAAAGCCAACACCCATTAACGTAATATTACGTCAATTTTTCATGAGCGAAAGCTGACGATCCTTAATACATCCTCTGCTAAGTATAACCGAACAACTTGACACAATATTACTCTGCTCGTATATTTATCTCTTTAGCATGTTTGAAAAGAATACATGAATTCAGTAATTGAATTCGTTATTGTGCCTGGCTCTCCCTGAAATATCCCTCGCTTCTCCCAAGATATTGCACTCGATTTTACACCGGTGCATAGGTATCTCCCAGGGTGACATAATTACGAGTTTATTCGTCCGTGGAAGTTTAAAGTCAACAGGGCAATCGTATTACCTGACCTACTCGAAACTTCAATCTCATGTTTTACCGGATATATCAAGGAGAAGAGGACTTATTCCAGGCTTCGAGTAAGCATATTGAATCGATGTTCAATATTCGTGTCACGCACGCTTTTGGCATCCAAAGCCACATTGTTATACTGTCCCGAGAAAGTTTCGTTTGTAACTTGAAATAAGCTCGGAACGCGTGCTGGGCCAACGACTTGGAATCAAGGCCTTGGAAGATTTATTGAAATCTTAATTATTAGTAATAGTTCAAATTTACAATTTCAATCTTTCTATTTTCTATTTTATAAAAATGTTATTCGAAATAATATTTTTCTATATCTAATTTACACTACCGGTTATCGATCACCCCCGCGATATCAATAATGATAATAATTAATATCATTTATGGTATTAGACATGATTGTTTCTAGTGTGCTAGTCAACGCATATAGAACTGTACTCTCAAATATGTACCTGGACTACTGTAGTGTCTGACCACTGACTATTAATACTACTAACGCGACTTCAGCATCATAGCAAGTTTCAAACACATTGACAATAAAAAATAATTAGACACAATTAACCACCTTCCAAAGATTTCAGGAAATTCGCAATTTCTTCAGGTCCCTTTAGTCGTTGACCGTTTTCACACGTGCGTTTTTATGCTCAACTAGATGTGACAAAGTTTTAATTGCAGTCAACTTTCACGAACAGCGTTGAGGTCGAGAAGTTTTGCGTCAATTTGTCGCTCGTCTCTGCGAGTGACTCTTGTGAAATGTTTTGGGTCAACAAGTCTCTACTCGTTTGCCTAAAGTTCCACTGTAGTTAGAACGGAATGTCTATCTTTAGTTACAGTATCATTAATTCTGTAGCATTTGCAATGAACACTATATTTATATTTAGCATTTCTATCATTTTTTCTATCCTTGATTTATACTCAATGGATTCGATCGGGAACACAGGTTTGTTTTCACAGGATAGGAAATTGAAGATCCCATTGGTGAAGGATCTCGTTTCGCGAATGATTTCATCGACAAAGTTCAGATTGGCTCGCAGAGAGGAGAATGCGAGGATATTCGAGTCATGGTAAATTCAATTAAAACAACGAACAGTCTATCGAATAAGTTTCAAACTTTCTTAATCACCGTACTGTATCAAAAGTTAGTTGTTCCCACCTTATGGGATCTCTCTCCTGTTCGAATCAAGTTATTATACTATTTCTTATAAGGATAGAGTTCCTATTACTTTGTCTATAATACGAATTATAATGAAAATTTAACATCATCTCATTTTGAATAAGTTCATTGTTTCGTTGTTGGATTATAAATCAAATGAGAAATAAAGAAACTTTTTGAATTTTTCATTTCAATTGTCGAGATTGAATGTTTTTCCAGCTAATAAAATTCATTGCATCCTCCATTTTTCCTCTCTCTCAGCTCATACTTCATCTTCGTAAGAATATTCTGAAAATGAAAGAGCCATAAATATGTCCCAGTTCTGACTAGCAGAATAGAAATCGTCCAACAGCGGACAAATTGAATGAATGTTACATAAAATGGAGCAAATCTTGTTTCATGTAACAGCCACTTCGTTAACGAATTGTATTGTAACGTCATATTTTGAATTATACAAGTTTATTTTTAATTTGCCGAATGTATTTATTTGAATTCGCGTGCACGTGAAGTATACGTGTACCGTTCAAATGTCAAACTGACAAAAAGGTTCTTCATCACGCGACACGACTTATATAGGCAACTGGCGTGCCTCCCCCACCACTGTTCTGCAGGAGTGGGAGTAGTGGGCCGTATAAATACAGGGCCCTCTCACCCGAGTTCTTTAGTCGCCTCCTAGCCATTAAGGTGGCAGGATCCCTGAAATGGAGGGGTCGTGACCATCGCGATGGCCGGACTCCTTACAGAGGAGGGGCGTATTATCCCCCGATCTTAATTAAACTATTAATTATGTGTATACTGCATAAAATAAATAACGAAACCATAAGTCTGAATGAAAATAACCAGAGCAGTCCTTCTAATGTTAACTAGGCGAATAAATCTTCGCGAATCCGAGCAAACAAAATGGAAATGGTCGTCCAAAGTGAATCATAAATAGAACGGAACGATGCAAATGTCTTAGCTGAACAATTTATGTCCTAATTAACGAAATTGATTGCCTCACTTAACGAAACAATATAGAAGCGTTTCTATCCGCGGATCTAGGTTGGGCAAGGTATAAAGAATCAAGCAATACGTTGTTTTATCGAATTTTTATGCTAATCAATGGCGAAAACTTCCGAATGAATTGAGAGTAGCTAGTAGCGCGAGCCACTTTATTCGACGAATTATTATTCCGAGTGACAGTATCGAATACCGATATTTATTATCAGGAACGAAATATCGTTGACTGGTCGGTGGAAACTCCGTGTATAATCCGGACGATCGTTGCTTTAATGGCACTGTTCGAGGCCGAGTGTGTCCTAGAAAACATTGCGTGAGCAACGACCGATTCCAGGTTAACTGGGAAAGTGATTCGCGTCTAGACGTTGAGATTTTCACTTTCGAACCACGGTTCACCTGCGCGATCTGACGCGACCTTGCGTGTCGTGGAAATCCGTCGGAAAGGGGTTTAAACGTCGATTATAGTACATATGTGTATATGTATCATAATCGAAGTAAGTGCAGAACGGAAATGACCGAGCATTGTACCCTTTAAGTTATCAAAATATCATCTATTTTTAACATCACCCCTTCAGTTATATTTTTAACCAGTCAAGCTATGAAAAATTTCTCGTAAATGCAAATTGAAAGGAAGGAACGATTTCCAGGCAATTACGTTCGGTTTATCCTGTTTCCTTTACTCGTAGCTTAAACTGCCAGCGTTTCACCGTACGCTGCATTAGTCGCGGAAAATATTGCTAAGGATACGCGCGAGGTTAACGTAAGGGAAAATCTGCAAGAGTCTGTAATTTATCTACTGATTTTCCATTTGACGCTATTTCGTCTGGTAATGGTATCAATTACACGCTGGTTATATCCCCTAACGGTCGCATAAATTTACCGATATCAAGCACGCTGCTACTTGAACCAACAAATATAGAATCACTGTTCGAGTGTGTTCGTCGGTTCAAAAAACAGCCGGCTAATTCAGAAACAGTAAGGTATCCCGTGTGTGGCAAACGAGGTGGTGGATTATCGAAGTAGAATTAGTCGGTGATAAACTCGACGAGTCTGGGATAGATCCGGTGAGAATTTGTAAGAACTCTAAACAGGGGAGAGTATAGGTCGTCAGAAACGTTCGACGAGTCTTAATGCTCTGAAAATATAGACGGTATAATACCGACGTTAGCTAATAAATTTTTCACTTTACGACTGTCTACTATTTGCATTCTTTCTTCTTCTTCTTCTCACTCTCTATTTTCTTTTTTACGCTCCTGTTTTTAGAAACAACTCGATACTGTTTTCATTAGTCACTCGTTCGGAGAAGATCGAGGACTCGAGTAATAACACTTCATTATATGTAGATTTTATATTTCTATTTTATCCGTTTATTACGTTGCAGAGATCTAACAAACAACAACATAACAGACATTCCAGTCCGTGCCTTCCATCGAGTTCCCAATCTTGAGGTGTTGTGAGTATATTAAATCAATTATGAAATCAATCTTCATTTGCAGGTGTTTAATTTCGAAATACTATTTATTTTACAGGTTACTTCGACGAAATCGTTTACACACGATCGCCGACGGTGCATTCATAAACTTAACGAGCCTTCGAGTATTGTGAGTGTCTCGCAAAATCTTGCACAAAAATTAAAAAAACAAATTATTAAGAAAAAAGAATATTAGGTTGCTTGAGTAAACCGGAGGCCAGACAATCTCAAGAAATGCTCCGCGATTGTTAAAAAAGTTGTAATTCTCTGTCTGCTTTGTAGGGAGCTCGATGACAATTATTTAACAAAAATTCCGACCGCGATCGTTAAGCTCTCTGGCCTTGAAGACCTGTAAGTGTGCATCGATTAAGTAAAATGTAATTTGACAACTTTTTTTTACATTCTATGAACACCATTTTCTCCTCTCTCGAGTCGCGTCTCTCACTCTTTTCATTTCAGTTCGAGTCTTTCTCTTATATTTTATTTGCCATTTGTTTTCTATATTTTTAAAAATTCAATCTTACAACCTTTTTATTTTTTTTAAGTACAACTTGTAGTACAGAAATTTGAAAGAACTTTTATATCGATGCAACGCAACGAAATGTATTAGCAAAATAAACATCGTTCTGTTTGTTCCTTTTCATTTTTCGTTCTGAATGCACACGAAGGAAACAAAGAAAGTCGTATTCGTTTATGTTCCCTCGATTTCGTAGGTCGCTGTCGAACAACCGAATAGAAACGTTGGAGGAGCACGTTTTTCAACGTATCGCTAATCTACGTTCCCTCGATCTACGTGGTAATCCGATCAAACAGATACACGGGAGTACTTTTCAAAATCTACGGAAACTTCGTAAACTGTGAGTATTTCTCGCGGTATTCTACATTTCCGAAAGTAAATAATGAATAATTAGCACAGTAGAAATAGTTAAGAATCCTTTACCCATTATTTTATATAGAATTCTGTCTAATCTGAAAGAATTACGAATATTTCCAAATTTAAATGGGACACGATCATTGGAAGTATTAAGATTAGACCGTGCGCAAGTGAGCGAAGTTCCGAGAGACTTGTGCGAAGAATGCCCAAAATTGAAAAGTCTGTAAGTAATCGAGCCCTCTAATTTTTATTTAAATCAGAATACTGTACAAGCTTGGAAAGTATTATATAATAGAATTGCAGTTTGTGAAACCGTATCTTGTTGTTTAATCATTCGGTATACCCGAGAGAAAATTGCATTACTTCATATTCATTTAGCAAACGAAATTATATTCTCCGTGGTCGTAGAGCGATAAAGTTAAACCAGGGTGTAAATTCATTAGGTTGCATTAAGCTGTCCAATGCACTTTGTACGAAACTTTATCGCGGTAATTAATTTTCTATCGATCGAATCCGGTATACCTTAAATAAGATTTTAATACAATGAATCGCTGATTCAGCTATGCGATGGTCGGACAGATAGGGTGATTCGTTTTATGAAACATTTTTACCACTGAATATTCTTTGTTATTCAATCGTTTATTAATTTTCAGCGATATAAAATCAAATTACCTGACGGAGTTGCCGAATTTACGGAATTGTAGCGAATTGAGGGTTCTGTAAGTACATAATGCAGCCTAAACTTCATAATTTTTAACTGGAAAGAAGTTAATTCTGACAAACATTTTACTCTTCAACCATTTTGCCACGATTTTTGCTACTTATTAAGATGAAAAAGCGTATAAAAGTTTCTTTTTCTAGGGACTTTGCCAGTAACATGATTTCATCGTTGTTAGACGAGCCTTTCAGAGGTCTGAACATGCTGCACGACCTGCTTCTCTCGAATAACAAGTTACAAGTGATCCCAAGCGACGCGTTCACCGGCTTGTCGAGGTTGCAGGTATTGTAAGTGTCGTCGCTTCCAGTTAACCGTGATACAGTTAACTTTCCGCTTTATTGTTTTTGAAGAAAAAAAAGAAAAGTTTGATATTTCAGGGACCTGGAAAACAATTACATCGAATACATTCATCCTGACGCGTTTAAGGAAACTAAAAATTTAGAAGACTTGTAAGTGCTAAATTACTAAGAAATTTTTATATTTTAAAAGGGCTACTATTGCTCTTTTAGCGGTTCTTTTAAAAATTCCGCGACGGCGCTTCTCACGTTTTCTCTCATTTTAGCGCCTAACAGCAGATGGCGCCACTTATTTAAAGCGGTCATTTTTAAATGAATATTTATTTTTTCAGAAATCTTGGGAACAACATATTTCCAGCACTGCCAACGCTAGGATTATCGGGTCTATTGCATCTTAAAACATTCAATAATCCTGCATTAAGGGAATTTCCATCACCGGAGAGATTTCCACGTGTACAAACAATGATACTGTCGTACGCTTATCACTGTTGCTCGTTTCTGTCCATCGAAGTTGAGGAACCGGTAACAAAATCGTCTGTACAAGAGTCTATCTTGTTCCCTACTGACAACGAGTTTGATATGAGCCTATGGAACTCGAGCTTTACCGATATCTGGCCACAGCTCAGTAAGTTTATTCAACAGCATCTCTTGCCGACATCCTTGAAGCTTCTGTTTCACATTTCTCATACCTGTTCCGCTTTCACGATAATATCTCATTAATTTCTTTCAGTAAAAAGTCACAGTTATCCAATCAACACACTTTATAGCAATTGCGCGTCGTACCAGCAATTTCTAACTTAATTATTAAGAAATGAATGAAATTCTCTTGTCTCAAGTTCCTTTTCTTCAAATTTTTTATTTAACTCTTGTTATCTTTTCGTTCGCGGTTTGCTCGACACTTAAATGCTGCAAAGAGGAAACCCATTTCCGTTGTTCAATCGTCGAACACGAATTTTCAAAATTCTCTTTGGCCTATATGCGCAATTATCACACGACAATAAAATAAACACTCGACACTCGAGCTTTTCTCATCGTTTACTCTCTGCTCGGACTATCAAATGCGCTCAAAATCAGCTTACATGATCTCTCAGCGATCATCAATGGCGAATCTAAAAATAATCTTGCAATTGGTGAAACATTAAAACAAGCGTTGACTTTCAAGTACGCGATATGTTTTTTTAGATTTGCCATACATCATCTTTCCAATTAAAAATTAAAAAAAAAAAAGAGACACTTTGCAGCACTGAAGTGATGACGTTTTTTAGATAACATGACCGACAAATTTGGCTCGCAAATAAATGAACTTTGGGCTAACTTTGGTTCAGATTTTACGTACCCTGGTAACCTGCCCTCGTATGTTGAGGATTATTTTGAAGAGCAGAACAACCGAGCTACGCTGCCAGCTCAGACACTGCCCTCGCACGTACAGTGCCTACCTCAACCTGGTATGTTTTAACGATAAATCTCTTGACAGCTTAACACTCTACAGTCCACCGTTTGCATATTTTAACGAAAAGTTAGGAATTTAGTTCGTTCTATCCTTACGACGTTTCCAGGTCCCTTCTTGCCGTGCCAAGATCTCTTCGACTGGTGGACGCTACGCTGTGGTGTATGGGTAGTTTTTCTGTTAGCCATGCTGGGCAATGGAACGGTGGTATTTGTATTAATATTCTCCAGAAGCAAAATGGACGTTCCTAGATTCCTAGTTTGTAATTTGGCTGCGGCAGATTTTTTCATGGGCATTTATTTAGGTAAATAAAATACATCACACTTATAAAAATCATTGCTGAACTCGCGTTTGAATCGTAGGTCTACTGGCAGTGGTGGATGCATCGACGTTAGGAGAATTCAGAAAATACGCCATCCCCTGGCAAACCTCGGCCGGGTGTCAGTTAGCCGGATTCCTAGGTGTGCTAAGCTCTGAGTTGAGCGTGTACACGTTAGCGGTGATCACGTTAGAGAGAAACTACGCCATAACTCATGCGATGCATTTGAACAAAAGACTGTCCTTAAAACACGCTGGCTACATAATGACAGCGGGCTGGTGTTTCGCCGTGTCGATGGCCAGTTTGCCACTAGTCGGTATTTCGGATTACAGAAAGTTCGCTATATGTTTGCCGTTCGAGACAAACGGTAACGCCGCGCTCGCATACGTGATCTTTTTGATGTTGATCAACGGCGTCGCGTTCTTGATACTGATGGGATGTTACTTGAAGATGTACTGCGCGATCAGAGGTTCCCAAGCGTGGAACTCTAACGATTCTAGGATAGCCAAGCGAATGGCGCTGTTGGTGTTCACAGACTTCCTCTGTTGGTCCCCGATAGCGTTCTTCTCTCTGACAGCCACCTTTGGATTGCAGTTGGTCTCTTTAGAACAGGCCAAGGTATTCGCGGTGTTCGTGTTACCGTTAAACTCTTGCTGCAATCCGTTTCTCTACGCCATACTGACGAAGCAGTTCAAAAAGGACTGCGTGTTGATATGCAAAGCGATCGAGGAGTCCCGAGTGACCCGTGGGATAGGCAGGTGTCGGCACAGCTCGAACTTTAGCAATAGACAGACACCTGTTAACACGAACAGTCTAGTAGATCGGTCCTCCCGCGATAATCAAATGCCTTGCGCTTGTAACTCGAGGCTACTCGAGACAAGTCAGTGTTCCGGTTACCGAAGATGGGGTACCAGGATACTGTGGCCTTGCGCCAAGGACACGAGGCCTCGCCATGCTCGTAGCGACCAGTACGCTTATCAGATCGCAGAGATCCAACAGAAGCAACACAAACGAGCCTCGTCGGTATCCTCCAGCGAGAACTTTTCCTCCTCGAGATCGGACTCCTGGAGGCAGACGCATCATTGCGGTATTCCGTTGAGGTTGCTCGATCCAAAGAGGAGAGCCTCCTCCTGGTTGATCACTAGGAAACCATCGCAAGACTCGAATCTCAGCTCGTCGAGGAACGACTCGTCCGGGTCTGCTACAACTGCCAGCACCAGCACCTGGAGGATCTCAAGATCCAGCGCGTCTCTAGAGGTGACCGCGAGGAACACGCCGAGACCGGCAAGGTCGAAGCCAAGACTGACCCGACAGCTGGCTATCCAGGAACCTGAACCGCCAGGATCTCCTAGCAGACTGGCTGTCAGGTTACTAGCGACCATACCGTCCGCGGCTGAGACCAGTGATCAACAAGATGACGACAATACGCCGCAGAACTAGGACGAGCTCGAGTATAAGGTATCTCTGTTCTCCTATGAGATTATAGTCAGTTCTAATGGACTAAATATGGGTCTAGTTTGCTCCTGAACGGTTTCAGTATTACAAGCGTCCTCTGAGAGGTGGAGCTGAGCGTGTGTGTCAGTCGCTGTTTTCTACAGAGCGATTATTAATTGAATGTTTGAGTTTTTATTATAGCCCAAACGAGGATTAACGCGTTGAATGCCGTGGAGATCATTGGTGAATGGCGCGACAAATTTATTTTAATTCAGTTATTAAGAATTGCTCTGTATTGTTAAGCGACCTTTTACTGCTAAGATAGGAGTCGAGGACATCGTAGAAGAAAGAAGAGAAGAATCAAAGGACGATTTAGCAAAATTTCTTCTTTCAACGTTTTATCAAGTTTCTTTCAAACCTGTTAAACGTTGAAAGAAGAAGATTGAAACAACTTGTATTCTCTTTGTACAATTATTACTTATGCAACTGTGTTGGTAGACGTGATCTACATTTTATCAACCGTCCGTGTTTACGCGTGCACACTATTGTTGCATACAATAGTCATATTCGTTAGATACTGCCAAGTTTTTCAGACACACAGCCTTTGACGTGTTCACTGTCCGATTCAACTCTTTGAGGTAATGAACGCGTTAATTATATAGCGTTAATTGAGTCTGAGGTTTATTTAATAGAAATTTCATCGCAGGAACTCGTCAATTTCTTTCGAGAGAATTTTACCTTAAGAAAATGTTGAATATTGTAAGTTTAATTCTGTGACAGGGAACTGGACGTTCTGTGCATAGTTTTTGATTAAAATTAGAAGGATAAAGTATTTATTAATGAATTAAAAGGACACACGGTATATTTTTTTTCCTTTTTTTTTGTAAGGATTTCTTGGCTCAATTCGAGGAAGTGTTTTATTGTAAGGATCAGTATTTAAGATGAGAATCCAACTGATTGTTAATAGATGTGTTTGCGTTGTTATAAGACTGACGGTTTGTACAATTTCTCCCCATGAATATCTGATGCCCATTTCTAGTTAAAGATTATTATGAAATCGTTATGGCGTATAGATGTTTATACAGAGTTTTTGATTAATGAAATTAGTGTCCGCTAGTATTGGTTTATTAGGCTGGTTTGTTGTTGAATGTGTTGTTCGTTCTTCGTGCAGTTGTTGATGCCCCTCCGAACAAGATTTCCAGATGTAATACTTGTTCTTATAAAATCAATTGTTTTCTGAAATTCTAGAAGCTGGTATATCGTTATTTGGCATCACTGGCTGAAGATAAAAATGAACAAGATTTACATCTGGAAGTCTCGAATGTATGAACTGTTTGAATCTGAATTTTCGTTTGCTGCATCCATTTTAAGGAGAACATGTTTTGCGTGTGTGTCCGATCCGAACTATTTAATAACGTTTTTCTAATAAAACAACGTATTACGAGAGAACGGTGTTAAAATTTTTCAACAATCGAGAATCAATCCAGAGTCTCTCCCAGCTATTGTGGAATTTCTTTTATTTTTGAAAAATGTCTCTGTCGCATTACAAGGAAGACCTTTCGCGCCACCGAGGTGACCAATCGTATAACAGTATTAATTAGGAATAATTTAAATATTTATCTAAAATAAATTCAACTTTGAATAAACCCTTGCTGTCGTCGCAAAAGTATACCTATACTACCAGCTGAATTGTATATAACTCTAGAATTATTCTTGCTTTCTTTTTATCTTTTTATATTGTAACATCAATTTTCGAATTTTATATGCATAAAATTTGAGTGTCTTTTATTGCTTGATAATTATTAAAAGAGAATTTTTACAATCTCATACCCTTAGCTGGTAGTATACATAAATTATAAGATAACATGTACCTTTTCTCAAACTGTGCATTCTCTCTCCCATTCTCATTCTTTTATTCCTACTTTCACTCTCTGTCTCTAATAGCAATTAGCGAATTGGATTCAGGTGGTCACTACGAGGTAATACAACATTAACAAGATATACATAATCTTAGAAACTGTCCCTTTATAAGTAAACGTCACTCGTAAATCATAGAACGTATTGCTCGTAGATCCTAAGGAATAACAACAAATCTCGTGGTCTCTTTTTCAATTAAGACACTGTAACAAAACTGACACATTTTATTCTCATACAATTATCGTTTGATGTTCGCTTTATCTTACAAAACGTAGATGGATCATTTCCTTGTTTCAAAACGGACAAGTCATTTGATATTGCAACGACCGTGAATATTGATAAGGCATGAATCTCGTGCTTGGACGGTATGATTCCTTAATTTCCATTTTTTTTTTTCTTTTTTTATTGAATTCCTATTTCAATTGGATTTAACCAGAACGATACACGAGGGTTGAACGAGGATTTATGGTTTACGCGAAGGGAGAAGTATCGCGAGGAGGTTGATAAAATTCACCCTCAGCTTTATTTCGTGATAAGGGGACCTCCATAAAAACGTCACAAGGTTTATCGATTCACAGTTATCAATTGAAGAGAATGAAAGGCGATTTTGGCATCCCCAATAAAAACTGGGGAATTAACAATAACTACGAGTCTGGGTCATAATTGACACGACTTCACCTCCTAAATTTTAAAAATCTTCAGAATGCAAATAACAATTCGTAATCGGTCAGTTTCGATGAGTTAATCATTTTTGTTAAGCATATTTCGGTAATTAGAGGATCGTGTTAATCCGGAAGACCTCGGTAGCTGTGACTTTATAAAATTTCCTTCGAATTCTTAAATGTAACAATGTGCTTTCAATTACCTACTAATTGAGCCTAAAGTATCAACTATCGTTTCGCTTATTTCCATAGTACGTTTATCGAACTTGGTCCATTGAACTTCAGATTCTTCCATTATTGCTCTTTTATGGTACACCTATTCTCATAGTCAATATAATACATACTTTCTCGGGGAAAAGTCACCTAACACAGCTACATAATTCCCCAATTTTTAGTTCTCAATTCCATCTAGAAATATGATTTAGTATCTTGAAGGATATTAAAAATTTGGCAAAAACTGATACCTATTAATTTTAATAGGATGATTTAAGGAGATTATTCAACTATTTTAGGAGTAAACATGATAAATGCAATAGATGATTTAACTCTTGATAAAATCAATGAGAAGAAATGGGAAGGACTAAAAAAAAATCAATAAAAAGGATAGAAATGAAGAGATGGAAAATAGATCACCAATTATGATGGGACAGAGAATGCACAAGAGCAAAAATGTTGAGGATGTTCATGGTGATGGGGTGGAGATATGGGGTTAATCAAGGGTGTTAGTTATTAAAAAGCTTTCTAAACAGCCTCTCCGGAGTGACGCGATTTGAAACGAACCCTTTCATAAAAAAATGAATCTCGAGGTTCGTTCAATCAAAGCCCTGAGATACTAAAGTGTGTCAGTTTATCAATCAGGAGAGGATCGAACGCTAACAATAAAAGTATCAAGTGGAAGAAAAAGAAGCCGGTGAAAGGAATGCGGAAAGAAATAATCGCAATGGTCAACGTAACGTCTGAACTCTACTCGTGGAACCAAGTGAGAAATACACAGCAAAGTAAACGCAAGTTAAAATAGCCATTGGCGTAACTAAGATATTATTCTAGCTTGAACCAGGTTCCCTAGTTCAACTAAAAGTGTCAAGCTCGCTTCATCGTTTCATCCACGAAAAAAATAAACGTCGAAATTGTCTGTACAACGATCTTTACACGTCCGTGTAACAAGGTCGATTAAAATCCCGTTAAAACTTATCACACTATCCCTTACACGTGGATATACATTTCAGAGAGTTCCAGCCTCACCGCATTTAAGCTTCTATGTATACATACATGCATACATATACATATTCTTAAAAAAAAAAAAAAGGCAAAAGGAAGAAAAAATATTATGATAAGAAAGGAAGAAACCGCTTCGTTCAATAAAGAAGCGGTAATAAGTTAATTTATATAGTCTGTTAAGAATCAATGATCACTTAAGGTCACTCCTCCCCCGCTTACTATTATTTTTTTAATATCTATTTTAATTATTTTAAGAAAAATAAAGAATCAGGCTACTCCTTATTGCACACAATGATTGATATTTTACACGTAAAGGAAAATAGTAATATTACTGAGTAACCCAGGAAGACTAACTATGGTGGCCTTAAAAGAATCATTGATTCAAGACAGACTATAAATCTAAACGCTAAAATGTGAAGTACAGCAACAGACTTTAGAATACTATGTGACCGAAACGTTAAAAAAGAAAAGAAAAATAGATGAACGATGCTACGGGATAAAAAATGAAAAACGCGACTAATAAAAAAAAAAATGCCTTGATTCGTGCGCGAACAATTTCGTGGAAGATCGTGAACAATTTTGATACTTTCTCGTGTACATACCGGGTAAGCACGTAACATTTCTTTCTTTTTTTTTTTTACTTTTTAATTCTTCTCGTTTGCCACTAGTACAATCCCTCGAGGTCCTCTCACGAATAAACGGTCACTATTTAAGCAAATGATTATGCTTAAAATAGCAGTTTCTGTTCGTGAGATTCGTGGTTTCTCTTTTTCCATTAAATCTAATAATACTTATAGATTTACCTTAATATAAATTCGTCTAAAAAAGAGGATGACAAACCCTGAACAAGGCTAACAGTAGCCCCGATAGTTATTGCTTTTTCAATGGTATGCTATGTACAGTTCAGCAGTTGGACCTCAAAGGATTATTTATTAGATCATCCTATGGGTAACAGGATTTTATTCAACATTTGTATAAAACCATTATCACTTCGTTGAGATACGAGAGCACAAAATAGATGAAGCAATGCCGAACGATAGCGTTGTTTGATAAATAAGATTAGAAAAAGAGAGCAGCAACGTGGTTAATAAGAAAAGTGGTCGATGTGGCAAAACGGAAGAAGATTATTTGCGCTCGGCTTGTACAACGATGGAAGGCTAAAAGCGTCCGATAAAGAACCCATAAAACTTAGATAAATAGAGAGAAAGAAAATATATGCTAATGGGTACGATTAATCGAGGAAATAACAGTGAAACGAAAAGGTTCGGCGCGTTAGAATTTCGTTATGCTTAAACGCAGGGATGGGCGAGTATCTTCGAACGAATATCAACGCTGGAATAATAAATCTAGATCTTTTTAAAAAACGTCGCACAATTAGACCGAGTCTCCTCTTAATCATGATTACCGATGAAACCTTAATAGACACTTATGAACTGTTTACTGGCCTTCAAAATCATTCTAAGAACGAGACAATGATAAGAAAGAGGAATGAACCGAATAAACTGCTACTACCAGACTGTTGCATGTCAGATGGAACATAGACAACGATCTAATAGTCTGTTCAAAATCAATTGGTCGTTCAAGATCAATTCCTCTACCACGAACAAGTTCTTTACGTTCACTTAAGTATTATCTACCTTATCTTTAAGACAAGGTAGAACAATAAACGATCAATTGATTTTAAGCCGATTCTGCATTGAAAATAGAAAAGAAGAAATATAAAGAACCGTTTCTTTAGAGAGACACAGGATATAATTAAAGTTACAGCTCGACGACAGGAGCGTAACAGAAATTCGAGATTCTTTCGCTTCAGAGAGACATTGCAATAAGATTTAATCGAATGAATTTTTCGTGAGATAAAATCACAGTAGAGACAAGGCTCGAATAAAGAGGGCTGAGAGAGCTTCGATGTTATGGAAATTTGAAACGGTTAACAGGAAGAAGATCGCGAGTTCGTCGCCCACCCCTGAGCCAAAATATTGTCGTAACTGAAGAATTTTCAGTATTGCGATTTTTATAATCTAGTTACCTAAAGGTTGGACGTCGCTTGGTGGGTGTCTCTGTTGCAAACAGAACGGAAGATTTGGCAAAACGGAAGACACACCGGGGCACCAAAAACATCCTACGCGACAGTAGCATAGTGGAACGTTCATTTTAAAGACCTATTAGCGTCAGCCACGAGGTCTGTTCGCTTAATTAACAAGATCCTTAAGGCTTTCACAGTTAGTACTATTAACAAATTTTGAGTTTAACTTGTGTCCAATACGTCTACCAAAATACATACATCTGATATTATTCAGGAAATTAGCTTACTCTACTGGACACATTTTAAATCCAACTGCGCCCTGAGATTCTACTACTATACACTGTACAAATCGGTTCTACATTGGCGTGACACAGTTGCATATTTCATTATTTCAAAAAATGCAACTGTGACATTTATATTACAAAAGGTAAACTGTACACCAAACCAAGAGTCTATCAGAATCAACTAAAATGAACAACATACAAATAATTTTCCTTCTTTTCAATGGGTTTGGCACGGACAGATTAACATTTATAATGCAAATGGTTAATAAAACTCAAATGATTAAACTATTCAACAGTCAATTCTGATAACAACTGGCTTTAACAAGAATGAAAACGCCAATGATGAACCTAACTCTACAGACCTCGAGGCCAACCTATTACATTGAACGTTCCATCTTGCTAAACATGTCTCTCTATCATGTACGGTATACTCGAGTGCAACGTAGGCTTCTCTTGTTCACCTACACTTCCTTCGAACAAAGGGAAGCCTAAGTAACACGCGACCGTACATGTATATGCGTACACGTATTACACATACGTAGAAAACTCGACGAGTAACTGATTCAGTAATCAATTACGAGCCGGTGGTTCTCGGAGGCAAATTGTTAAGTGCACGTCGCGGTTTAACCAACTAATCGTTAAGAGTTACAGCGTTTTAAGTAATGGTACAACGCGATGTACGATTTATTATCTGACTAGCGGGCATTCATCACGTGACCTTGGCCTTGTTCTTCCTGAACGCCGGGAACAATATCTTCCTGCGTCTTCGTTTCATCTCGTCGTTGTCGGTAGTAGAGTTGGAGTCGGTGGACAAAGTCTCCTCGTCTACCGACATAACCGGAGGCAGTTCCTTCAACGTTTTCTTCTGATTGCTCGTCATCGCGGTGCTTGTGCTGACCGTTGCGGTGCCGGTGGTGTTCATAGCCGTGGATGAAACCGCTTTTTGGTGTCCGGCTCGTTCCTGAATCGGCGAATCCAACGAGTTCTCCGAGTACGAGGTCTTCGACAGGAATGATGAGGTAGTCTTGTCCTCGATCGCGAGGAGCATGTTGATGTCCTGACTGTACGAACGCGCGATACTTGATTTATCTTTGCTAATCGGTTTCACAGGCTCCTCGGGACCCTCGCCCACGGTGAAGTGCACCACGCTGCTTTCCGGTGGTGTATCCTTGCCGGTTTCGCTGCTCGACGAGTCTGGCGGCACCGACGACTCCTTCCACGTCAGGCTGTCCAGGGTGCCTGTAGATCAGGGTAAAGAATCAACATTTGGTACACGAGTTTCTTACTTTCTTTGCTTTTTTTTTTTTCCAGAGTCTTATGAATTCTTTATGGTTCATCGACATCTTAGCAGCACCGATGAAAGTTTAAGCGGTGGTAATCGCTTAGTCTTTTGTAATTTTTTTAAGTGTCTGGTGACACTCGAATTAATTGGATAAATTTCAAGGGTTAATGTTAAATTCCACTTCCATGCAAATTCGAAGACATGGACAAAGAAAAAGAAATTCAATGAACAATGATTTCATTTTTTATATTACACGATTACAGGTACAGACTCCTTTCCGCTGTTCTCGAAGAAATTATTATATTTTCTTCGTTTTAAGTTCGTTTCCAGTTGTATAATAACTTTGCATGCAATTTTGATTCCATACTTTACCAGTAAGAAAATCGCGTAGCTTGCACTTTTTATATTTAAATGCAAGAAAGAAACAGAGAAAAGTATCCTTCATAGATCGCGTTGTTCCATATTCGAAACGACAGAGTCAGATGAACAGAATAGACAAAGAAGAAAGTTCATTCTTTATTGCTTCAACTAGATAAAAGATGGTTTTCGTTACGTTTCTTCGATTGCTCTCCTCTCAACTTGATTATGTCAATGTAGCTTGTTGATCTCGTCGACGCAATCGCGAGATGAAATCATACCACTGGCGCATCTTGATTAAAGTAAATCATTTAAAAGTATACAAACAATTTTACATAGAAATTATACAACGTTACAAGTAATTAAGGTAACTTTGGCTTGCGGCGAATACAAAGGATCGCGTGTTATATTTTAATATTGCAATCAAACAACATTTGTTATTTAAACAGTTTATGAATTAGCTTCCCAGTCGATAGTGTTAAGAAAAGGTATTTGCTTTTGAATTTGAAATGTAAAACGTTTATGTTAATTAAATGATGGCTATTCAGCTGGTTATTCGAGCGAAAGATTATAATTAGATTCGATCAAATTACAAATTATTCTGAGCAAATTAGTCTCGTGTGAACAGAATGCATATATCACCGTCATATACTTCATATACGTTTGGTATGCTCGAGTTTATTATAGGATAGAAATTAATGCGCTCAAGAATGCGCTGCTGTTACCTGAATGATGTACTCGGATATCAAATACACTCGTATCTAATTTTAATTGAATCTAATATTAAACATGACGCGCGTTGTGTCTGAAATCACCTGAGAAATAGAAATCGCTTCTTGGCATCGTTTATTGCAAGATACCAGTCTCAGCAAAGCTAAAAATTCCGTTACTATTCGAGGCATTTATTGAACTACTATCGGGATCGATGATTTTCGAACGTTCAACATTATTTCCTCCACCGCAATCAATTCGTACAACAAGGAGATCCTTTGTCATTTTACTCGACACAATTTATTGTCTTGTCCTTCCTTTTTCTTTAATTCTTTATACAAGATATTTCTGTATGTATGAATGAATCTGAAATCATTTGGCAATCAGTCAGTTTGCTTCATGAGAGAACCGAATAAATTCGTAACGCTTTTGCTTTGGTTTTCAACTGTCTTAAAGGGACAATTTATAATTATATATATATATATATATATCATGTATAATAATAATAATAATAATATAACAGGTGATCGATAATCGGCACTTATTGTTAAATAAAGTGATAATATTATTATCACACTTGGCACTTGATTATTCCCTATAATATATTGCTATTGATATTCGAAGGAACGAATTAGAAGGCTCCCTGGAAATTATTTAATCCAACCCAATTTTGGATTGACCTTGCCTTAATCATTAAATAATTATATAATCGCGCCCTCGTTCGTCCGTTCGATATGTCATGAAAATTTTCGTAGAAAAATATGTCATGTTCCTTTTCAAAATGTTGCTCTAGCTTTTTACACTATGTACGAATATATTATATAATTGCAAAAAATAATTGGAATAAAACGACGTTTTCATATAAAGTAATGAGTTAACAACAATTTGAAAGATTTATCATTGTTCTCTTCTTAAATCATCAACACGCTTTTCATAAAAAGTGATAAATCTTCATTAGGGAAAGGGAATATTCTAAGTGAAATTTTTCCCTTTACCTGTACACGTCCTTTTAGTAGGACACTTTTAATACTAATTCTATGTCATGTATCAGAGATAATATTACTTTCGCATTAATTTTCATTTTTATGATTGAGATAATTTTAAATTGCGAACACTGTGTTCATGTCACACATTACATTAACATATATACAATTTGCAATGGTTAAGCTGAGAATATTTGAGATAGATTTCTTTACACAAGAAGTTGACATTACGTGCAGGACGAGCAACACGCATCTAAGTTGTATTAAAAGGTTCAGATAATGTGCCTTCCTTAATCTTTTTTGGAACCACTAACTACAGTTTCTTCCTTCCCTAGAATCAAATGATAACATAATATGAACAAGTAACACTATAGTACGAACAATATTGAATGCTGCAGCACATAAATATTCAAAGAATCATTGTACCGTATCGTGAAAAAACTACAATTATAAAATGAATGCTGTCAGCGTTTAAAAAAAAATTAAACACACGTATCTGCTCAACAGATCTGTATAAAATCAAAATTAGTTTTTAAAAAAAGCACAAAAGTGCATCTTGAAACAGGACAACTGAACGATAACAATTGCAGCACAAATTTACAGCAATATTTTGCACACGAGGCACAAAACAAGAACGGATTTTAGAAACAGCAAAAAAAAAAAAGATTTTTTAGTTAAACTCAATAACGTATAAAAAGATCTTAAAAAGTTAGAAAAATCAATGATTCACATTGTTTCTTTTCCAATTAAAAAAATTGCCAAAAATATCCACAATTTGTTAATATCATAGTATATAACTAAAATAGGAACCAACTTTTTTTTTTTAATCTATGAATCTTATTGTAATGTGTGACATTTATAGTAATTATCCGCATCTTTCGGGACGCTCAGCATCCTTCATATTCTCAGTCATATTTTTCTCAAAACATTTAGGACATAAGATTTAAATCGATATATAAAAATTATCTTTTTTATAAAAAAAGAATTATAAGGCACTGCCTTGATTTTTTTTTCTTCGTCAGTAAAAACATAATTTCAGAAGTTTTTACGCCAAACAGCTTATCCACAAATCCATTACAAACATGTTTAAGCAATTGTTAGGTTCATTGAAAGCACATTAAAAAGTTTTCGTAGGGAGTTGAATATTCATACGGAAATACGCACGATACCCTATGTTTCACGAACATCTACATTAAAGAGAAAATTATTATTTTTTTTTTTTTTTTTCAGAAAACCCAAATTGCTACTGCTAGGAAAATAAACGAGTTAGTGAATTATTAATCTCATCGTCCACGTGAAAGAGGACGATATATAGGTGTAAGTATACAATACTACATACAAACTGAGCATTGTTATTTATCAATCTAAATATTCGTGGAAGTCCGTTTCCAGCTTACCTGCGGCACCACACGTGGAAGGCGAGTACATTGAGCTTGATTCGTCTTCTAAGTCATCTTGGCTGCTGAGTCGACCTGTAAATATCAATTGCCCATGATTATTTATTTCCTTATACGTTCGATGATATTCCAAGATAAGGAAGAACTGAAAATTTAAATATTTTCCAACATTGAAGATTTAAATACCTCTAAGTCCGAAACCTCGCCCATTCGGTGCCCCCCGGTAGAGAACAGTTTCTAAATAACTTAGACCATTATTGTTGACTATATTAAAACCGCACAGGAGTTCGATTTGTTTCCAACGGTATACTCTCTCTTGCAGTTCCGCAGTTACTTCGTTTAACGCGGTTCTTGCTTCGACTATACTTTTGTCGACTTCGTCGATAGATTTTCCATGAGTCGAAACAAATGCTCCTACTAAGCTCGATCGTTTCTTTCGTAATTTTTCACACTGAAAAACATTTACGTAAGTAGTACATAATTTATGTGACAATTCTATTAAAAGTAATATCGTTAATATCTCACTGCTTCGCGTGCTTGTTGTAATTGTTTTTCTGCTGCTATTTTTTTCTTCGTATACCCCTTATTCTCAATTTCGTGAGTTAATTGTAACCAATGTTGTAATCCTGGAGGAGGGGACCAACATCTGTCTTCAAGTTCACCTTCTGCACGTTGTAATTCATTTTTCAACATCTATGAGGTAAGAATGAATTACACTTCAAAAGAACCAGAAAGATTTGATAATTAAAATCCATGTACTATTTACTTCTATTTCAGCTTTTAATTGAGAAACTTCGAGATCCGAATATGATACGTGTAATCCCATTGTTTCGTCTTGTAAACGTTTCTCTAAATTTTGTTTCTCTGTAGCGGCACTTTCTTGTTCCATCCGTGCCCTCTCGAGTTCTTTCTATACAGTAAAAATATAATATCAATAAAGTCAAAACATATTATTAAGGTGCACTTAATAAGGTACACATACTTGCAAGTCTTCAAGTGCCAATTCTGCTTTGTGTAAGCTCTCCATATCTTTCATCATTCTATGAAGATGTTTTTGTGAATTTTTCTTTTGCTGATACGCATACCAGCATCCAATAAGTGCTCCAAATAATAATGTTATTAATATCAAGTCTTTAACACTATGCCCAGTATCTATAATAGAGTGTTGTTTAAGATAAGTATTGTAATGTAAAAAACATTTTTCTATGTATGCTTACCTTTTGGTGGTCCAAAAAGAACTACATCCATAGCTTTTAAGGCAATTTTTTGTTTATGGATGGGATCTTTAATCCCTAATACATTGCTTAGGTAGTGCATGTTGTTCACAGCCAATCTATGAATATAATAAGAAGCATTTACTAAATAAAAAATGATAATAGTATACTTTGTAAAACATTTACCTTGGAAGTGTAGCACCAGTTACACGGTGTTGTATAAAAGTAGGAACATATTGAGGAAGCTCCACATTAGTAGACAACCATTCAGATGTTTGTTCTATAGTCCAATTATGAACCTAAGAAAAAATATACTGACATAGTAAGGTTTAAATATTAAAACCGAAAACCCTTAAAAAAGAAATAGCTCTGATGTTCCTGATAGTACCTCTGACCTCAACCAGGCCTCCCAAAGTTCTCTAACACTGATGTGCATATCATCATTATGATGAAAGGCCCTCTGTCTTCTTTCATACCCAGCTTCATATTGTAATTCTTCCCTTAAAAACTACAAAGAATAAATTACATTTTTGTATAATCAAGAATGATAAATTAATTAGAATACACTTACATCATCCGATTCTGAAAGGTCTACATTTCCATTGGCATCGTCGTCTAGTTGGCTGTGGAGTGATTTGATAGCTTCTAAACCTAGTCGATCATGAGAAGCCATTGTAAGACAAGCTAGGTCATCATTACAAGTATCGGAACCTGTAATAAATTAAACAGCCTACGTTTGATTGTATGTGTTTATGATTACATTTAATCTGTTATGCACTTGTCCTTATCGTAAGTAAGTTAAATCTTTAACAGATTTTTAAATGATTCTCTATGAATTTTTATCATAAACACATTTGTATTCTCTTTGCAAGACATGGCAACAGAATACATTGAGTCTTCTTCTAAAAATATACTGACAATAATTACATATTATCTAAATGTTATACTATGAATCATAAATACACATATTGCTTACAGACTTTTACACACACATACATATATATACAGGATGAAAACAAAAAATTAATCGGATACATTCAATGATGCGTTAAAAAATGATACAATGAAGACAATGCGAGCAATGATACATGCTGAATGGTATTATACAAAGCAGAAATTGAGAAGTAACGATGAGACATTTACCAGCTTCATGAGCCACAGCCTGTGCCAGTCCATCTGTGAGCGTAGCAGAGAATGCTGAAACTTTGGAATGTGAGCTTCCAGAGGAGCCAGACTGATAGTTCGGGCTTGAGTCGAGGGCACCGCCGCTAGCATCTACCGTGTTGCAACACCAATACAAGAAGTGTAGCCCGAACAGTACAATCACATCAGTAATCACGGATGCTCGCATTTTAAGGTTAGCTACACCTTGTCACTGACACCTCGCGCCCCCTTGCGCAGTTGCTACAAGTGAAGTAAAACCGAATACTCTTGGCCCGTTGTCACCTTTGACGTAGAGCCGCAATAGTGAATACAGTCAAGGTTACAGTTATCAAAACCGGGGTGGTAATGCAATTTGACGAGTGCATAACACGAGTGAACCAATTATGAGATATTACAGTAGGCCCATGAACGAGTTGCACAGCATCGTTATTGGTTCCATCAAGGCGTCGGTCAACGTCCGAGATCTCTTTTTTAAGGCGAATCGATTGATTTATTAATTAAGTACACTGCTCGGTCCGAGTTGAGTTTTTCTATCAAGGCCAACCGTCCACGAACAACGTTGCGAAAAATAATTAATTTAGATCGGAAACAACGGTGCACCTTTTTACGCGCAAAAAATAGAAAATTCAATTGGTCCTGTGCGTGATTATACGCGAGATGTTATTGGCTCGACGTTGCACTTGCCATGGTAGCGCATTGCCAGCGCCAATGCAGCGCGAAAATCATTTCTAAAATGTTTTCTGGGCAGATTTGATACTTCCACGAGATGAGTATTCGAAATACTCGGGAGATTCTCAAAAACACACCGACTAATCATCACGGAGCCCTTTTTAGATTATATTAATCATTTTACAACGCTATTATTTACAATAATGTAAGAAATTTTTTTATATTAAGTACCCAATCTGACCTGAAATACGGTCAGAGTTGTGTGACTTGTATGAACGCACAGTACGAAGAAGATACCTGTGGGATTTGAGAAATTTTACAGTACCTTATTTTTATAATTCGACGATTTTTTTACTATTTTTTCTACATATTTATGCAACAGTTACATCTATAAAGTTGCTAGCAAATATAAACTTATAAAATCACGAATACATTAGCTTGGACTTGTGGACGAAATTGCGTTTCAACGCAATAATAAATCATATTTATTTAATTGTAATTGTATAATTTCTAACATACTTTTATTACATAGTAATGATATGGATATTTTAATACATGATATATGTATTTTTAGTTGCAAACTAATAACATTATTGGTTCAAATACCATTTATTCTGGGAAGTTCCTCAGATTGAGGATAAATGGATGCTTGAAGTTTGCTGCTTCAAATTATTATGAGAATATCAGAATGGAGAATAATGGAATAAACGAAGAGTGTGAAGTTCAAGGGACTGGTACAACAGCCAAAAAAGATGAAGCTTCTCAAATAGTACAAATATGCTCAGATGGAAAAATATCAACAGACTCTAAAAATACTCAAGTCCGTGTTGTACGGGGTACTAAAAAAGTAAAAATAGATACTAGTGATAATAATAATTGCGAAAAGAAAGGTTTGTATTTGATATGAAGTTAATGTAAATTATTTTGCATTGAATATCTATAAAAAAAGTTATTTATATCTAGATTCTAAAGATGAAGAAACTAATATGGAACCAAAAGTAAAATCTCTCAAAAGATCTTGTGAGTTATGGTCTATGGAAGATAAGAATACTTTCTTCAAGGCACTAAACGAATATGGAAAAGATTTTGATGCCCTGCAAAGCTATTTCTTATGTCAGGGAAAAAAGAAAGGTCTACCAGATGTTATGATAAAAAACAAAGAACAAATACGGCATTTTTATTATAGAACCTGGCTGAAAATTTCTAAGCATTTAAAATATTCAGAAGGTAATTATAAAATGTTTAACTTCATTGTTTCTTTCAATGTAATATAACATACATTTTACAGATATAAAGAAAACTTCTCAAGAATTATATGGTTTGATCAATTATGGTGAACTCAGAAGAAAGCTACCTAGGATACACGAAAAAATACATTTGAAGTTAAATGAATTAGTTTATTGGGGATCAACACAAGTAAGATTAAGAGGAAAAACTATGAGAATAAAGACACCTATATGTAGAGCATTGAGAAAATTAAATCAGTTGGAAGGTGTGTATTTGTTAAATAAACAGATACAGAATATTACAAGTAATTTATATGTTTCATAGATTGGCAAGAAGAGATTAAGTTACCATCTAGAATAACAATTGAATTAAGACCTCGCAATAATATGGCTTGGTGGCAGGTGCAGGCATCATCTATGAATCCAAGAGTACGCACTTTACTACCTATACAACGACGTCTGTCTAGTTTATTAATATTTTTACAACAGAGATGGAGGCCTGCAAAGTACAACATAGTATCCTTACCTCAGAGTACAATTATTCGTGTAACGTTATTTGTTGTACTTGTTCAGTATGAAAATGCAAAGAAATATCCTATACGTGCAATGTAGCCTTCTAATGTAGAAAATGCAGCTGTTAATGAGCTGAAAGATACCCGCCTTTTACGGGTCGCACCATCCGAAGGGTGTAAAATTACTCTGCCAATAGTAAATCTTGGCGAATATCTCACCAGCAATAGTGTTAGTTTAAATTCTTATGAAAAACGTCTGGGTTTAAAGAGTTCCAGAATGAACTTATTAGGGTCAGTACAATATTTAAAAGGAGTTGGAAAGAAGGGTATTAAAAAGAGTAAAGTAGATAAGAAGTGTTTGAATCGAGCCGAAGATAACTGTACATTGCCAGACAACAACAGCGACGTGGATGGAATAGAGTCTGGCAGTAATATTTCAGAGAAACCTTCGACTCTTAATAATGAAGAAAAATCAAATTCGGAACATCAGACAGAACCCAACAGGTTTCCAGGAAGAGAGACGATTGAAAGAATTCGAAAGGGATGGAACGTTGAAGAAGCAAATACTATCACTGTAGGAGATTTATTTTTAATGGTATACGTTTTATTTTATGTTGAAAATAAAAATCTAATTCCAATTAGTTATTAGAAACATATCATTTCTAATTTTCTAAGTTTCCTAGTTCGGTCGCGAGTCGAAAATTACCTTGGAGTATTGGTGGGATTGTCATCCCGAAGAACAGAACACTGGAGAATCTACGTCGGGTTGTTTGCGCGATAGTAATCTGTGCCTAACTTTGCAGAAGTTATTATCTATAGCAAAACATAGTTATGGTACGAGTAAGGTAAGCCTTCAGAATTGAACTTGAAAGATGTTCTTTAAAAGATGTTTCCATTATTTATTATCAATGCCTAGGGATACGATAATACTTCTGGAAGTAACGAAACTGTGATTTCATCTCGTGTTCTTTCAACAAAAGAATCAACCTTTAGAAGACCTCTTGTTCCACAAGCTTACCACAAAATTGGTGCATCGGATGCTTTTAAAACACAGTTAGATGTAAGTTATTGTCTTAAATGTTATTCTAAGAAATTAATTAACTAAATTATTGCACTTTATGAAACACAGAAGTTCAAGACGCGCTTTTGTAAACGGGGGAGAACGGTAAGACAAAAAAGTCTCGTTGTACAAAGGGTATTACCTATAATATCTACATCGGTTACTCCACCGTCGGACAATCTACAATCCACGTCAGACAATTTAACGCCTACCCTTCCAGAGGCGAATAAAATAAATGATTCTTCTGTCAATAACAACGAGCAACAAAATGATAAATCACTAACTATGAATGTAAGTGAACAACAAGAGAAACATTTTTTGGACGAACTTGAAGTAGCAAGGGATCCGAAACCTACAAATTCTATCATAACAAGTGCTACACAGATTCTTAAAGAAGGAGAACATCAGTGGTTAAACAGTGAGGTAATTTTTCATTGCTTGAAATCATTATTTTGCAGGCAATCAATTTTACTAATGGAAGAATTAAATCATAGGTAGCAGATTTTTCATTGAGTAGCTTTTTGGGTCAACTCGAATCCCCTATGAAAATTTCTCAAAGAAGTCAACACGGAGACAATATCATAGAAGATAGTCGACCATCGTCCGATGTAAATATCATCGATAAATTGATAAAAAATTATGTTAATATTTCAGTATATTAACAATATTATACGTATGTTGCAGGTCGTGTCGCATATGCAGTGCCTCATGGGTGAAAGTAGTGTAGATTATATGGCAAAATTTGCAAATCTTGCATCACAAATGGCATCGGATGATAGTAAAAGATAAGAGAATATAATTTTTTTAACAATTTTTAACCGGACATCTATATTAAATCATTTAGATTGGATAAAGTTTTATAATTGGAGCATATACCAATATTTGGACTGATTTATTTATCTTTTTGGTATTTAATTTATCGATCACATGTTACCATAATAATGAAACTGCTAATGAATAAAGAACTCAAGATTGTTTCATATCACATAATTCATGTGCATACGAAGTCCCGTTATATTCCGACTGAACTCCTGTACAATTTCATTTTCTTTTAATTTGCAAACATATTCAACACTTTGTTGTTAAAAACTTAGGTACTTATATTTTTTTTATAACAAATATCATACAAATGATTTTTGCAACTTACATATTCCTATTATCTAAGTATACTCATCAATATTTCATTGTGCATTTATTTTTCTAGAGATTTATAGGAGGCATGGTACAAATGCGAGAAGAATACATTTATAGGTGATATTTCCTGTCCCTGTTTAATCTGTGGCGCGATACTTATGTATGGAATTATTTAGGCAAGTTTCCGTCTATAACACTTGGTATTGCATTGCAGTCCCATGTAACTAATTACGTACGTTGAAAGAAGAAGCAGTAAATTCCTTTCATATAATTTCCTTCACAGAAAAAGATGAAAAAAAATTCTGCATTAAACTATGATAACAGAGTAAACGCAAGTACTTACATTTTTTTACTTTTAATATTTCCGAAAAATTAATTATAATTTCATACCAATTTTACAGTTTCTTTTTAACACTATTGCTGTACTTGGAACAAAAAGGCTTTCATGAATGATTACAACTTTACGGATGAAGTTATGCTTGAAGACTAAGAATATGATATAAGAATGCAAAATTGAATATTATTATCCAACAATGATCCAGGAAATAGTAGCTATTATAAGACTTAAATACTTTAGAATCGCATAACGTTGAAAAATGAAAAAGGTTGAAATTGAAATCAAAGTGCAAATCAGTCGAGATAGCAATTTTCATCTAAAATTAGATTTCTATACATATATAGGGAGAGAGATTTGCAAAAATTAGAAATACGTGCGTGGAATATAATTGAAACGATAATGAGCGGAACATCCCGAGGATACTTGTATTCTTGGAAACGAAGCCTATAGTCTTTTCAACGGTGCATTGCGAAACAGACGTTGTAAATGATTCATACTGCCCACGTCCACGTGATCTTATGCGTATGCACCTATCAAGTATTTGTTATTTACAGATGTGATTTCCCCTGGACGCAAGCACTTTGTGCAATGAACTGGTTTTACTTGTTTTATCGATCACAAAGACCAAATCATTAATCAAGCCTGCTTTCTTTAGAGTATAAAATAATTTTTAACAAAAAATACAACCGACTTCGACATGCACTAAAAAGTATGAAATAATTTCTATTTCATTTATACAAATACTATACAATATTATACAAATATATTTCAACCTTTTCGGAGGCGGTGCAAAATCTCCTTTCGAGGTCGGTTAAAAAGATGATGCCATTGACTCTTTAGAAGGACATAGAGGGTGAGGCACCTTGCATAAATATTTAAATTATTCATTCTATCCAAAATTGTTGTATAGTTAAACGGTATATCAACTTTATTTGGAGATAGAGGTGCTTCGAAGAATAAATTTATAATTTTCAATTAGAACCTACTATCGTAAAAAATGAAGGAACATAAATATGGAAAAACGTGTTTTGCAAGCGTGCATTACACTTAGCTCAGAATCAATTCAGAACGTTATTTCCTTGTTGATTAATAGATTATATCATTGTATCAATATTTATGAGTATCAGTTCGCTTCAACTAGGGAATACATTTTAACGTATTATTAAATCTTAAAATTTAATATTCTTTGAAATTTTCGAAACATAGATGACCTTGAAATGTCCGAAACGCCTCCGTTCTAACTTCACCCCTTAAAACTATGCAACTTTTTCTATACAACAATTTTAATCGATAACACTTTTTGTAATTCTCAAATGCAGGTTGATAATAACATTCGATTTTGAAAACTACCTTGTTTGTTTAGGGGGAAAAAAAGATGTGTTCAGAAGACTTCGGACTTGGTAAGAAACCTTTCAGTTTACGTTGAAAAATTATGAACCTGTTTCACAGTCCGAAATGACCTTTCTCCTTTCGAAATGTATTCGATTACGCAGAAGTTCCGAGTACTACGCTTCGCAAGATAAAAAAAATCTACCATAATATGGAACCAGAAAGGGGAAAAGAGGATAACGCTTCGTTCTTAATTTTTCTTTGCCCCTTTTATTCCGTCTACGTACGTGCTTTTCAAGAAACTTGAGGTTTCATCGATGTACCTTTTATTTACAAAGCATTATACTGTCTGAACCAGTTTTTTGTTTTCACATAAAAGAATCTTTCTGCGTATATACATATATATACGTATATGAAAATGCGGTTCCACATAAATCAATGCATCCGTTTGCGTTATTATATTGAAAATGAATATTTAATTTTCAATTTCCTTTCTCTTTTGCAAACATTTAAAGTATCTTTTTTCTTCTGCGACGACTTGTCGTGTTCAACATCGACACTTTTGCTTCTCAGAATTGCCACAAATCATTAATATATATGCATATTATCTGTAATCTGTTCTTTTTTACCTAATGAGCATGAAAAATTTTATATTCACGACACATCGAAACTTTATCAATATTATTGACTCATTAATTTCCAGAAATGGAATTATATTATTTTCACGACAGTATTTTTGCATGATTTAAAATTCATTTATTACAATTTTTAGCAGATAGCAAAAGTAATTTTATTCTACAATAATAATTTTTTTCAGATACTGGTAACCCCTGCAGGATGATCACCCTCATTACTCCCCTATCCACTGGATCCGACGTCTTTTCAAGGATTTCATGCAACAAGTATTATACTTTCGATTAGTCTGAGGGTCATGTCACTGTTGCAATTAAAAAAATTTCCCAATCACGATTCCCGGCGACAAAATTTACATATAGGCTATATTTATTCGCGAGTCAATTATGTTTCGATCGACGCGAAGTAATTTTCTGATTGTATTCGGATAAACGAATGGAAATTAAAAAAAAAAGAGGCGACAGAATTCTTGCTAACGATTAAAAACGATCACGTGCACACGATGGCTACAGTGTATCGAAACGACGTTGCATTACAATGCTCGAAGGTTGATATAAATTTATCTGCAACAATGTAGAAACTATTACAATATATTATACAACATTAAAATCGACAGTGATCAATTGGAATTTGTTTCAAAGAAGTAAGTAAGTCGAATTTTGATAGATCGTTGTTTTTCCTTATTGCATAATTCTATGTTGTGAATGATCTTTCTTTTATTTCACTCGTTTTTTTCAAACAGAACGAAATGTTTATTTTTGAACTGTGATGTGCATAAAATGAGATAAAAGAAGAGTGAAGTACAAGGAAAGGCGAAGTGTGAATGAAATGGAATAAAATATGATTGAAATGGGGAAGTGGCAATGAACTAGTATCAAGCAAGTGGAAGTCATGAAAGGTATCCAAGGTTTAACATAAATGTTTAACTATTATTTAAATAACAACTTGCCAGGCAAACATAGAAATAATTACGCTAGAGTTATTATTTAGAAAAAGAAAAGAAATGAATCAAATATTCAAGATGATTCGTACTTCCTCTTTTTTTATTTTCACTTCCGTAGTGGTTACACCGGAAATGACCGCACCGAAACCGACAAAAACGTGGTTTATAGATTATATCAGAATGATATGTATAAAAATGGAAGAGGAAACATAAATTCTGAGATGGTATTTGGAAGACGAGAATCCCCGGGACCTTGAAAATTGCATCGAAAATGTGGCTGAGAGAATTCTGTTTGTCATTTCGATTGAGGACTTATTTTTTATCCGACTTCGAAAAGGAGGAGGATACTCAATTCGATCAGTATATATTTATTTTTTCTTTTTCTTTTTCTGGCTTTGTTATTTTTACGGGAGACCCAAATGATTCATCCTTGCGGAGATAGCACCGGTCAAAAAATAAGATGAATCTCATGCGATAAACAGGTTCGAAAGTTGTTCAGGAATTTTTCGATTCGTCGTCAGTGAGAGGGAACGCGACGAAATGGAATGCAGATTGTACGTAATCTTTCGATTTTTTTAGCGGATGAAAAAAGGTTTTAATGCGGGAAAAAAAAAATGGTAATTTTCCACTCATTAACCACGAACGAATAACAACAGGGGTTTTCCCTCTTTTCGTTTATCTTTCTCTTTCTTTTCTTTCCGTTCTGATCATTGATATCACGTTTGTAGGGAACGAGAATCGGCTGAAAATCAAAGCACGATACTGTTAGTGCGATTATCGTTCTTTGAATCAGCAATTAGTAATCTTTAGCAGTTCTGTGGATTGCGGTTAATACACACGATAAAGAACCGTCGTGGAGACGTAATGAGAAAAAAGAAGAAAAGAAGAAAAACTGAAAGAAAGAAAAATACATCGTAAAATGAAATGAAGACCATGGTACTACCAACATGTTTACACTCCGATGTCTCGACATCGTGCCGTACTATAAATAAACGAGTCCATAGGCGTCGCGAATGTAAGAGCTCTTTTTTTTTATGTATCTAATGTGATAGAAAACAAAGTTGGACACTTTTTATTTAAGTAATTGACCGTCTGAAGTAAAGCGTTATTTTTTTAATGGTACAAAATAATAATTCATTTTAAGTAATGATACAAGTAAGATGTAAAATTATAAAAGAATTCAGCCGTTAATTGGCAGTCTTAAACTAATAGAAATGTATCATGTTTCAATGATACTTTAAAAACTGATCTAACATATTAAAATCTCTTTTAGATTGATAGACTGTTTGGCAACGTGCAAGTCTGAAAGAAAGTAAACAGTCCTACGCCTTGCATCAGATGCATTTAACCGGTCCACCGAAAGTGTACCCCGAATGACGTCCAAAGGACGCGATTTTCGTATAACTGCAACTTCAACTTCTGACGCACGTAAAAACCTACGGCATTGTAAATGTAACAGGTATTCCAGAATAATTTGGTGTGCATGCGAAACACGTTAAGGTATCTCTTATTTTTTTTTACTTCTTTTTGCCGTAACGTTTTATCCAGCAATCTATCGTATCGTGTTACGACGACAAACAGAGAGCGTGTTGCTATTAATAACACTGAATAAAAATCTCTTGCAGATCTTCAACCGCTTCAATGTCATTGTTGGGAAAATTTCAACATTCGATTTAATCGAAGAAAGGTATTTCGTCGTACAGGTTGCCGATTTGCTAATCTCGATCGTCAAACTGTGTTTCAGGGAAGATTTTGAGAAAACCGAATCGAAGCTCTCGATAGTGATTTGAATTTGATGCAAATTAGATAACCCGAGAAAACATTAGATTCTCTGCGAAAACAAAAGACTCGTGGAAAGATTTGTAAACAAAATTATTAGTATACGAAACATCGTATTTAGATATACGAAGCTTGTATTTTCATAAAAAAGTAATTAGTTGGCAATTAAGTAAGTTAATCGAGACGTTTGGCATGCGAAGAAAGTTACCTTGGTGAAATGTCCGGTTGCTAAATGATATTTTGTTTTTTTCAGTGACAACAAACACACGAGTGCAATCAGGCTTTTATTTTAAATACAACCGATAAAATATGCAATGTTTGCAAGCAGGGAAACGGGGTCAATGTCAATTAATTAAACTCGATTACAAAGATGGAAATCATCAACAATTATATTCTTCTAGTCCACGTATGAATTTTTCAGAGCATCGTCTGTTCATTGACATTTACATTTAAAAAGGTTCTACATGCGCGGCAAACCAGGCGCAATCAACAGGTGAACTTTATAAATTACAATTCTCCCTGAAACTAGTGTGTTAAGCCTTCTGCAATCTAAATATCCTCTTTACGCCAAGCTCGATATCTGTATGCAAGCTGCGTTGATTTTCAGAAAAAATACATGACGTGTAATGTACATACACGTACACTTTCCACAACCTTCTTTCTCGTCTTTCCTAATACCGCACATTTTCATTGGATTTCAGCAAACTGCAAAGATGTTCTGCAACGACGACTCGCCTTATCGTATCGCACCTGCGACGCCGTCCAATCAGCCTAACAAGATCGGGAAGAACAAAATATAATTCACCGTAGTATTAGCTCATTAACTATACCAGAGGTCTGAAATATGTTATTTTCAAGACAGCGCCTTTTATAAATAGATAATTGACACTGTTGCTGCCGCTTGTTGCTCGGTTGCCAACGTTGGCTGCCCGATCACGCGGTATCGCGTGCTTTATAGTCAATGTTTAACCCTTTGCACTCGTATTTATATTTGAGAAGGCTACCAATCAACTCGGAATTTTTTTTCATATTCAAAATGAAAACATTTTTGTGGGAACATATTACAATTTAACTTACGAGCGCAATAGTAAAACTTATACGATTGGAAAGAGTTAAATAGGTAGTAAATTAAAAAACAATCTGTGAGTATAAAAGGCACAGAATGGGTTAAAGGTTTATTAAATTCGACGTTGCGCTTGCCGGTTTTCGAAGACCGCCGCCAATGCGGTGTATCCGCAATTATTGCGTCAGCTATTGCGAACCGTGTCGTTGGTGATTGGACGGTCCCCGAAGAGCGGGAAATCCCCGTTGAAACCTGCTCTTCCGCGCTATCCATCCCCGCGGTTCTCCCGCTGACGTCTTTCGCGTCAGCACATCGAGCTTCCGACCCCGTCTTCGTCAGAGACATTCCGGCGACCAGCGATCAGTATCGCGCTGCGCGACATCGCCGCAACATTCTTCGTGGTAGGTGTTTTTTTTTCTGTTTCAAGTTCTCGAATACAGCGATGATATTTACTTTCAACGCCAATCTGTGATACACCCTGGACGATCATTGTGACACCTATTCGGAAAAAGATTGTTGCATTTTGAAAGCATTGTTATATACTGTTGTTAAGAAAAACAAGTGATTATTATGATGGATCTGTTTAACAATTACGGCAGGACGGACTTATCGGAGGTAAGTTTTAATTAGAGCGCGAAACTCATTTGTGTATGTACTTTTAACGATATGTATATTAGGTATATGTAAATTCGATAAGCGACAAAGTATTAGAACTATCGACAGTTATTTCATACAATGTTTTATCATTTCAGAAGCAAAGGATTATTAATCCTTTATCTGTAGAGCGATAAAATAGTACATTTTCACAGTCGCGACAAGTTTCACGTGCCACATTTTTTTCGACTGTGTCCCATAAACTTTCTAAGGGAATGGTTACGTCTGGAGATCAAGTCGAATCAATGTTAATTTTATCATGTATAAGCATATAAATTGATAAATGCGTGCGATAGTAAGTAGAGGCACTATTTAAAAAGTTTAACAGATGATAACCTACTTAAGAAAGTAAACAAAAATTTATGTTTCTCTAGTTTATTTATGTTGCATCACATCGCATCGTATCGCATCGCATCGCACTGTGAGAATAATGAAACATTAAAACAAGGATTAGATTTTTACAAAGAATAGTTGAAGATATGATAACTCGAGTGTTTACATTATGCAAACGTTAGCAGTTGAGAGTAAAACAATTCAATGACATGATTAATGAGAATTTAATAGTACCCATACGTCAAAACAAGTTAATTTACACATGGTTAAAATAATGTAAAATAATTTACCGATATATGGTAAACAGGTTTTCTTATCGTTCGCTTTATCTTGTGTACGGAAATATTCAAAGTTACTGATTTCTTACATAGAAAAATAGAATAAAGGGAATAATAGTTTGGAATTATTTATTGTCAATTTGTTAATATTTGTAAACACAGTAGTCACGGGATAAACACGTTTCTGTTCGAGAAGAAGATCCCAATGATCCTTCTTGTTCTTATCGTTAGTCACGATAAAAAGAGACGAGACGAGATTATTCGTAGACGCAAACAATGTCATTAACGCATAAAACGGAACTCCGTTTTGGATTTGTTTGTAATGCGATATGTCTATTTACAGGTGTGCCCTTTGTTCTCTAATCTCAACGACGATGACGAACCCTACTTACTGGATATGGATTCGTTAAAGACGCGGAAAACAAACGGCCCGACAACGCGTAGTTACGAACCCAATCGAAAAAGATGTACCTTTGGTAATTTTCAAAAAATCACATTCACTTTATAATATTTCCTATATCATTATACCGTGTTGGTATTCGATAATTTTTATTTCAGTCTTAAAATCTTTGTAACGCCTCCAATTCCGCTACCGACAAACATGCATCACGCGATGCTCCATTTAATACCATCTAATTTAGCCGTATGAAATTTTCTTCTACAGGGTGTCCCAGAAAGAGTGTTAGTCCTTTAAGGGGATGGTAGCTGGGGTGATTCTGAACAACATTTTCCTTTGCGAAAATGTCGTTTGAAGCTTTGTTTTTGAATTATTAAGGAAAAACATTGGCCAATCCCAGCGCGCTACGCGCGCGGGCTCACGAACGGCAGCGCCGGCTACGAAACCCTGCTGGTATAGCAGGGTCATTAGAAAAATAAATTAATTGAGCTGATTAAACATTTTTAATTATTGCTTAAAATGAATACAAAACCTTTATCGTTCTACAGCTATAACTTGGCCTAATTGCATGAAATATCCTGTATACACTTTAAACATTTTTTATTATGATCTGTCAATTTTGTCACGTCATCGTCTGTTCAACAGGCGACGAAAACAATGAAATTGACGGTGCCGGCTGGTCGGATAAACCTGTCAGAAATTGGTGCCAGGAAGAAACGATCAATTGGTTGATATCTGCGGCATCATACATTGGACAACCGTACGGTTTAATTCAACAAAGTCTTGCAGTACCAGGACACGAATTAGTTACCTTCACAAGAGACGATTTTATAAATCATGATCCCTTGTATGGAAATCGGCTCTATGACCTACTCCACTCTCAGCATATCTCAAACATATGTATGTAACTACTACTATGCGGAGCATTGATAACAAATATAAATAATGTAATAGTATGTAGTAGATAATAATTACACATCATATTTCTTTAACGCCTTATTTTTTTAACGTTAAAAGAATAGTTACACTTCATCCTTTAGCGGATGTGTAAAAGAAAGTCATTGAAGTAAAAATATAAAATGAATTATTTTAATTACAGCTCCAACATTCGACACCATTCATCCCGCTTCCGAAGACCAGTACGCGCGAATTAATTCTAATAGTACATCAGGTAGTAAATGTTTGTAATTTTTCTTTTTTTTTTAATTATTTTGGACCTGTATTTTAATTTTATGACTTTACAGACGCAGAATCAGATAATAACAGTATTGATGTATCTACCAAACGACCGCCGGGTAGACCAAGAGTATTAAAAACGAAAAAGAATTGTATGTATTGATCACAAAAAAAAGTTAGATGTATAATATAATTTTGAAAAGATTTAGTGAAAGCTGTACGATATACTTGTAGCCAGCAGTCAAGGAAAACTATGGGAATTCATTAGAGATTTGTTACGAAATAGAGAAACTTGTCCAAGTCTAATATGTTGGGAAGATTACTCGCAAGCGAAATTTCGGTTTGTTAAAAGTGACGAGGTCGCGAAACGATGGGGTTCGCGGAAAGGAAACACAAAGATGACGTACGAGAAACTGAGTCGAGCTATGAGGTAATTAATAAAAATTAATTTGTCCAATGTTTTTTTGTTCTACATTTAAATTTCTTACCGTTCCAGGTATTATTACAAAAGTCAAATCTTTCTACCTGTATTGGGCCGAAGATTGGTCTATCAATTTGGACCCAACGCAAAAGGTTGGCAGACTGACAATCCGAATTTTAGATATTAATCTTACCTACCGACTCTACGAATTTCCTCAAAGTTTCATTCGTTGTAAAAATTGCATAAAAAAGTGAGAGTAATATTACCTAAGAAAAAATATTTATCATCTTCATCGATAAGTTTTAATCATAGATTATTAAGTGTATATTTGATACAAGATGAAAGTTGTAAGTATTTTGTTAACTGAAGTGAAATATTAAGTGCCAGTTCAACCAATAATTGTAAAAGACTAAGCAGAAAAGATCTAGTATTATAGACAATGCTAACTAGATTTAAACAATATATAAAGACAGTATGAATGAGAATAAATGCTGAAGTTTTGTTTTTCATATCATTATTTGTATGACTGAATATGACAATAAGTGATAAGTGAGAAATGTAGGCATAAAATCGGTTCGATTACATGGTTGTCACAGTTTATTTGATTTTTAAGCATCTATTTACTTATAATCGAGAAAAAACTACAATGCTCCTAAGTTACAATAAAATAAATTTACTACTACTTATGTTTTTTATATCACAGATTTTGTATTATTTGGCTAAATCAAATCCAATTCAATTTTAACAGAAGGAATTAAAATATGTTGTAAATAACGAACAATACAGTGTATTCCTAATTGTTTCTTTCTTCGTAGAAGATTCTTAAGAGTTCAGAGTAAATAGCAGTTTATCATTGGTTTATAAACTATGGAAGATAAAGTATCGAAGTTAATGTGTATCATTATTAAGTAACTTTAATTTCAGTAATACTTAGTAACCAAATTTGATGAATACTTATTCTACAATAGCACATGCAAGAGAGCTGGAAAAGATATCTTCATTTAAAGAAATTTTGGACGATTTGATTATATAGAACCGTGACGGAAAGGATATACAAGCAAAAGGCATGCATATATTTTTGTTTTAAAATTTGTTAAAATTAGTTAAGGCTACTGAGTGGTTCTTAATTTGAGCGAACTCGAATGTCGTTGTTTATTAACTATAAGCGTAGTTAAAATATCGGCTGTACTTATATTTTAACGTTTTTTAAATATGTACGTTTAATATATTTAATGTATTAATTGCAAAAATTGTTGGAAACTTGAAACTTGAAGTATTATTATACTTTTTATGAAATCACTAAAAATCATTTTTTTTATATTCAAATATCAATGAGATACTCATTTAACTGAATATATATTTACATCTTTAGAAGAATTTCTAATATACTTTGACAGAACCGTAAAATAAAACAATATCGTATCACTTCTTTCAAAACTATCTAATTGTGGAAAACATTATTTTTACGTCCAATAGTAAATTTAACAACTATCAAAAGGCACAAATTGTAAACAATCATTATCGTAAAATACGCATTATTTATAATGGTACTATACGAAAAGAATGTGCGTCGTGTTTATCTGAAATAACTTATAGAAATAATCAATGTGATCTTTGGTTACAAAGGATATGAAAATAATATATAAAAACGAAAAGTTTTACAAAGACTGTATATCTACCTTCGTTGCAGAAATAAAATTTAAGCACATAATCTATGCAAGACTACGATTTCTCTCTTTTTTTTGTTAGCAAGATTTCAAATGTAATAAACCATAAATGTAATAACATCATAAAAAATATAAATATTGGATTTTCCACGGTAAACTTTTAAATCGTATTTTACCTATCGTAATAAGTAATGATAGTCGTGAACAATATTATGGTCAGTAAGCTGTTGTGGACCCTATGGTTTTGTTTTTGGCACTTATGTCTATTACGTGAACTTTAAAGCAAATATTAAAAGCTTATTCTAAATAGTAAACCTGGCTGGTATTTTGAATATGAATTGTAACAATTAGTCCTCGAATGTCTTTAACGTGTCTACGACAAACTAGTTTACCATGTAAGATTTCCCCTATAAAAAAAAATTTTTCATTGAATGATAATAAAATAGACATTATGAAAATGAAGAATTTTTATCCACATCTATATTTTACTTACCTTCCGTAATGCTAATAGGCTCGCTTAGTGAAAATACTGTTTGTTTCCAATGCGTTGGGGGTGAATAAGGCCCCGTGCTGAAATGAACTGGATTGTCTAAGTCGAAGAAAATATCAAAATAGCCAACAATCGCAGTTAACGATCCAGTCTTTTTCACTTTTAATTCAAACGGTGATGAAAAGTTTACGCAATCTTTTGTTACTTTATACAAGTCAAACGGTTGAATTTCAACGGTACTTGTTATCAATTCGTCGGCATTACAAATTTCTATACTCGGTTCACGCACAACTTCTGCCTTCATACAACTCATTTTAAAACCGTACACGTTCGACCAGTAGTCGATAAGTTCAACATACCGCCCTATAAAATAATTACATGTGTAATGCGCAATATTAATTTCAATGAATTAGTGTAGAAATAATACATACGAGTATCTCCACTTCCCACAATGCTAAGAGTACACCTGTTAGGAAGAAGTACCCCACCAGGTGTCAAATAGTGGTCTCTAGCGTATATAACTGTATCTAGCATACCCTCAAACAAAAGAAAATATCCCATCCATTCGGATACAATTGCATCTACTTTATCTTCGTCAAGATTGATGTCCTCGAGGCGGCCTTTTTTCAAAGTGATAACATCACTCAAATTGTTTTCTCTATAAATTTCATATTAAGTATGTGAAAACATTTAACTTTATATATTTTCAAAACATAGTTTCAATTGAATTTATATGTACCTCACTATATCAATAGCATGATATATTACATCTGATTGGTCAACGCTGATTACTTTACGACAACCGGTTTTTGCAGCAAACATAGACAAGATACCAGTTCCGCATCCAACATCTAGCACCACACAATTACTAAAACGATTTGCATTTGTTAAAAGTGCATCTCTGTAACTTTCTGTCCTAACTTTATCCTAGAAGAAGATAATACTTGTAAAGCCACCTTTTGAAAGAAACATTTATTTACTTACCGTTAACATTTCATGGTGTATAGCAAAATGACTATATGTATTAAAATAGCCTTTATCAACATTACAATTAGAGTTCCTGGAAGTAGTAATATTGTTTTCATCTATATCATCATCAAAGACCAATTTTCGTGCTTTTTCTGTCATTTCATCTATTTGCTGAAAGTAGATATAATCAGACATTTGTTTTCTGAATTAAGTAGATGTTAAGGTATATGTATAAATACTTGTTTTGCCAAAGAACATGCTAATTCACGCTGTTCTAACTGTGCCCTTAGCGTTTGTATGGTTCTTTGTAGTTCAGCAAAATGTGCTTCAGACAATGTGACACAACCATTTTCTGAATTTACTGTATATGCTACAGGCTTTATTGTTTTTTCCTCTAAATCTTCAATATCTTCAGGTGTAAACATTAAATTTATTTATTAATTAGTTACATTATCAAATTAATGCATATTTCAACTTACCAAACATCAACCAAGGATCATCTTCAATGACAGGCCTTAAATATTCATCGCTTTCCCATGTTTTTATATTCAGTGCATTCAACTGATCAGGTAAAACATTTTTATGTCGGATAAAATTAATGAGTTTAATATATGAATAAGTGTCAAGTGAATGTCTTGTTATAAAATTTTTTAAATCAAATTTGTGTGATACTGCAAGATGTTCTAATGCTAGAGAAAAGTTACTTGTTACTTCATTACAAAAAAGGCATGGTATACATTCAAAATCTTCTATGATTTCATTCCAATCATCCCCACTGTCACTGTCACTACTTCCATCCATTTCACATTCGTAACTGTTCTTCAATGGAATAACTGCAAAGTAAACAAATGTTAATAAACTTACTCGTATTAAAATAATATTCAAATTTTAAATCAACAAGAGAATTTTATAAACCCTATTACCTATGAAAATACTGAATTATTATTATATATTTCAAATATCTTTTAAGTTATCTTTATGTTAAACATACTTATCAAAAATTTTTAAAAATATTAAGAAAGTAATATCATATATGTAGATATCACGTATCAATATTAATTATTAATTTTAGTTTGAAAGATATAAAAATAAATATGATAGTACCTTTTTCTGTCATTTTACGATTGATTACAATAAGTGATGTATAAGAATTATTATTATCAAAATAGCAATTTAAATTTTTCAAGGTTAGAGAACCCAGCATTCAATTTATTCGTACACGTGTGAAAGTAAGCAAATTCTTTGACTTGATGTGAAATCCATAATTCTTTATATCACATCACGCTGTAGCCAATAAAAAATCTTCTCTGCAGGTGATCCTCTTTAAACTACAGGTCAATATTGATTCTATTCAATATACAAGTGTACTTGACCTTTTGTGGTGATTTTTTAGACTTTTTCTTTTAGCGGATTCTACAAAAAAAATTAAATACTTTCCTCAAACCCAGAAAAACTATTTTGCATATATTGTTTGGTTCTATTAACAAACCACAAAATAGAAATATGTATTTATTTATATATGCAGACCAAATTAAAAAGCATTTCATATAAATCATTACATTGGTTCAGGATAAGTAATATTTTAACAGACATCTTACAGTTTAATAATACTAGTAGAACGCCCTGTGCCATGCACGGGGAATTAATCAATTAAAATATAAATTTGATTTTGCCCATCATCCACCCCAAACTCGTTGTAAACTATTTTACTCCTATTTTCGGGCCTCGCGTGGACCTCCCTCCCAAGTCATTTATTATTTTATCCCTCTTCATGGGCTTGGGCTCAACCTTCCCAATTATTTATTATCTTTTTTATCTTTAAGGGCCTCACGAGGCCCATCCCTTTAGCACTGCATCCCTTACATGTCTGTATCCTTAACATCCCTGTATCCCTTATATCACTACATTCCCTATATTCCTGCATCTCTTACATGCAGGCATTCCTTATACCGCGGCATCCCTTACATTTTTGTATCCCTTACATCTCCGAACCCTTTATATCCCTGTATCCCTTACACTCCTGAATTCTCCCTGCATCCATTCTATCTTTTCAACCCTTATAATAAATATATTATAAATAATATACTTATGGCCACTGTTTCGAGTAAAGGTAAGTAAAGGTAAGTAAAGGTAAGTAAAGTCCCGTGAAAAATAATTTAAAATTTAAATTTTTGCAAAATTTAGTTCCTTTTTTTGCCGCCAGAGGGCGCTGATCCGACGTCGAAAATTTAGTTCACATTTTTGCCGCCAGGGGGCCAAAATCACAGCATGCTTTAGTTCCTTTTTTCAAAACCAGATGGCGCTGATTCGACATCGAAAATTTAGTTCACATTTTTGCCGCCAGAGGGCCAAAATTACTGCGTGCTTTAGTTCCTTTTTTCAAAACCAGATGGCGCTGATTCGACATCGAAAATTTAGTTCACATTTTTGCCGCCAGAGGGCCAAAATTACTGCGTGCTTTAGTTCCTTTTTTCAAAACCAGATGGCGCTGATTCGACATCGAAAATTTAATTCACATTTTTGCCGCTAGGGGGCGCTGTTTTTTTTTTTTCGAAAAAAGGAATTTACTTACCTTTACTTACCTTTACTCGAAGCTGTCTTTATAATATATTTATTATAATGGATGCAGAGATGTAAGGAATGTAGGGGTGGAAAGAATGTAGGGATTTAAGGGATGAAGAGATGTACGGAATGTAGGGATGAAAAGAATATAGGAATGTAAGCGATGTAAGGAATGTAGGGATGAAAGGAATATAGGGGTGGAAAGAATGCAGGCATGATAAGAATGTAGGGATGTAAGGGATGAAGCGATGTAAGGAATGTAGAGATGACAGGAATGTAGGGATGATAATAATGTAGGGATTTAAGGGATGAACGAATAGGAATGAAAAGAATGTAGGGATGAAACGAATGTAGGGATGAAACGAATGTAGGGATGAAACGAATGTAGGGATGAAAAGAATGTAGGGATGAAATGAATGCAGGGATGTAAGGGATGCAGAGATGTAAGGGATGCAGATATGTAACGAAACGAGGGATGTAAAGGAACTCCGTAGGGGTCCGAGGCTGGGGCCCCGCTCTCCACTGCACGCGGCCCGAGGAGTGCCGACGTCGGCACTATGTTAATATTAAAAAAAAAAAATAAGGGTATTTAAGGGTTGCAGGAATGTAAGGAATGCTGGGATGGAAGGAATGCAGGGATGTAAGGGATACTAAGATGGCCTTGGCCTATAATGAGGGATAAAATTATATAAATAACTGGAAAAAGTAAAAGAAATGGGGTCCTCGGCTGAGACCCAGAAAAGGAATATAATTATAAATGTTATTCCCCTTCATTGAGCTTATTTAATAAGCAAAAAAAAGTAAATGAAACAAACTAAATAAACTCTCGAAAAAAATTATACTGGTTGTGCCCTCTTCACACGGCCCTGATATTATCCTGGGGTGTTGAGGACCCCGCTGCGCCAATGACGCCCACTGCGTACCGACCTGATATCATATTGGGGTATTAAGGACCCCGGAATGCCGGCGACTATCTTTGCTTACCAGTAATATAGTATCCGGGGTGCCAGGAACCCCATAGCACCATTGGCTATATCTGCATACCGACAGGATATCATCTTGGGGTGTCAGGAACCCCGGAATGCCGGCGACTATCTTTGCTTACCAGTAATATAGTATCCGGGGTGCCAGGAACCCCATAGCACCATTGGCTATATCTGCATACCGACAGGATATCATCTTGGGGTGTCAGGAACCCCGCAGCACCGGTGACAGTGTTTGCATACCGTCATTTTGGCATCCGGGGTGTCAGGGACCCCGAAGCACCGCTGACACTCTTTGCATACCGTCATTTGGCATTCGGGGTGCCAGGGACCCCGAAGCACCGCCGACACTCTTTGCATACCGTCACTTTGGCATCCGGGGTGTCAGGGACCCCGAAGCACCGCTGACACTCTTTGCATACCGTCATTTTGGCATCTGGGGTGTCAGGGACCCCGAAGCACCGCTGACGCTCTTTGCATACCGTCATTTTTGCATCCGGGGTGTCAGGGACCCCGATGCACCTCTGACACTCTTTGCTTACCGACACTATAGCATTCGGGGTATCTGAGACCCCGAGGTACCAGTGACGCTGCATACCGATATTATGCCATCGGGGTGTCAGGGCCCCCATGCACATAACGAAATATAAGAACGAAAAACGAACAAATCGTGAAACTCAAATTGTAGGAAATAAAGTGATTTGTGGGTTGCAGGGCTATAAGGGAAGCAGGGTTGTAGGAGGAACAGAAAGGTGTAAAGGATAGTGAGATGTTAGGCATACGGGGCGTGAGGGACGCAGAGATGTAAGGGTGATAGAGGAGTAAAGGATGCAGGGATATAAAGAAAGCGTGAATGTAAAGGATGCAGTGATGTAAGGGGTATAGGCATGTAAAGGATACAGGGATGTAAGGGGATTAGTTGTAAATGTTTTTTGCAAAAGGTTTCGGTCTGCATGTACAGAGCACAAAAAATTATTAATATAATTACATATTTGACAAACTTGTATTTTAAAAATTGTTTTGTATTGTATTTATTGAAAAAGGGGGTCGTAAGCTCCATACAAGCTCGTAGATCCGGTACAGCAATAAGTGTTACATATCTTTACAGTAAATTTATACAAAGTCAGTAGAAAAGTCAGAGACACAAACTTAATTAAAGAGAAATATTGTTCTTTTGTAAAAATCGCGATATAATATATAGTATTTTAAAAAGACCGTCGTAAATTAAATATTCGATCTTAGCGCCATCTATTTAGAAACGGCTCAAACTACTCAACAATGTACCGACTGTAGACTGGGCCACCAGCGCCACCTATTAGGATATTGGGGAAACTAGTCGAAAGGTAGTTTGCGCTGTTTCTCGATAGATGGCGCAGGTGTTTCCCAGAAAATCGGTCGGTATGGTGGTGAGTAGTTTGAGACGTTTTTGTATAGATGGCGCTGGGATCGAATCTTAAAAATATTTAGGCGGTGTTTTTAAAATACGAGTTTGTCAAACAATTATTTTAATAAGTTTCTTGACTTTTTGTGTTTTGTACACCGTCAGACGTGTAACAAACCGACTCCCGATTTATGTGAGACAATTTTGTTCTTTCTCGAATACGAAAGTGTCCTTAAAATTAGGCATCTTCCCCTCTGCTGGCTTATACCGTCATTTTCCCTGGAATGATGCCGAGCATGCTCGAGGATGTATAGAGGTGTATAGCAGTGTATAGTATGTATTGCGTAGCGCTGACGCTGATATTTGATGTTTGAATCGTACTATATATAATATTATAGTTGGAAACAAAAACAATGATGTTCCCTGTTGAAATTTGGGAACAAATATTTCTTTATGCTGATCCAGTGACACTTACAAATCTAAGAACAGTGTGTAAATGTTGGAAACAAATTATTGATAAAACTTTAAAGGTATATGATGTTTTTTTATATTTTGCTGCAATTTCTATAAACACATAGGCTGTATCAAAATCAGATAAGTAAATAATTGTTTATACAAAGATTGTTATGGTTAAAATTTATACTTTTAGTTTTTTAATATTTACCAATTATACTTAGGACAATGACCACTGGTACAAAATGTGTAAAAAGGAAATACCAGAAGATTTATGGATTACCTTGTGCGAAACACTATGTCCAATTAAATTTTATACAGAGTTTCACACAAACCATGCAATATGGATGGCAATGTACAAATGGTGGATGAAATGTAAAAATATAGTAAAATGTGATACAAAAATTGAATGTTTTGAACCATTACCAAATCATAATTTTAATGAATATGTCACTTGTATAGATGTTAAAGGTAAGAAACAATACTTTTATATGAAAAATACTATGTTAGAATGAGTGTTAATAGTATTTACCATTTATAGGAAGTTTATTGGCAATAGGAACATCTGAAGGATTTGTTTATTTTTATGATATTCATCATTTACATACACGTACAAACTGTGTAGTAGATAGTAAAGAATATTTACAAAGTATTCACATTCTTAGAAAAGGTATCTATAAACTGCATTAAATAGTTCTAATAAAGATTTTCTGCTGATAATTTTATTTTATAGAATCAACTGTTCTTTGTGTATGTTGCACTGTAAATAATCATATAAACTGTTGGGATGTTAATAAAATGAAGTTAATTAATAAAACAAGTGGAAAACTGGTTTGGTATGGTAAATTTCATATGGTTAAATAATTATCTAGATTCTTTCTAAATATTAAATATTTAATAGCACAAGTTACAGTTATTGTTGTATTAGTATACGCAACTACATAATTATTGAAGGACCAGTACTAAAAACAGGATATGAATTTGGTATAAAAGATATTGTTGCTATTAGCGCTAGCAATAACAAGGTAATAATATAGCAATTCTGTAAATTTCTTGTAAAAATTATTACATATAATTCAATGTTACAAAATGCTACACTTAAGGTACACTTTTACACGGAAGGGGGATATTTTGCAACTTTAACTGCAAATACAGAACAAATAAATTATACTTCCACGCCTATTCATCCACCAAATATAAGAATTCGTCGATATTATATGTTTCAACCAAATATAGTTATCTGTATTGCAGGTGATAGAATGTTTAATAAAAATTAATTTGTAGTTATCAAGTCAACAAAAATTTTATATGTTTTTATATTTATTGCAGAATATGGGTATTTAGGTATTTTAGTACAAGGAAAAGAATGGAAAATGCATAACATATTTCCCGTTTTACACGGTATCCCAACTGCAGTTTTAGTACATGGTCATTTACTTGTTTTAGGTCTGGATTCAGGTAATTAAACTTTTCTTTTATGGAACTTAACAATGTTATTTATAAATATACATAAGTTTACACAACGTTTATTTTTTTTAGGAAATGTTCATATGTATTATATAACGGATTTTGAAACAATAGATTTCAACAATATTAATTGTAAAAAATTAACTCTAGACCTCACAGCCGTTATATCAATAAATACAGTAGTTCATCATGGAGAATATTTAATAATTGCTTATAAAAGAAAAATTTATACTGTAAAACTTCTTTGATATAGTTCTCTTATGGAAAAAGAGAACTTCATATCGAAATAAATAGTTTATATTAATATGATTCGTAATAAAAATTATATTAAAAGGTTTAATAATATTTATATGTATAATAAGAAAAATGGTTTTATTTTTTTTTTTAAGTTTCACTTCATGCTTTATAATTCTGTGCTGTTCCCGTTCCATACGTAGCATCCCATTCAACATAAGTAGATAAACTAGATTGCGATACACTAGGACGTACATGTATTAATGCTTCTTTGAAATCATCAACTGTTACCTGTCTTACATCTTCTTTTCTAATATTTTCTAATTCACTGAATGGGATACTTCTAATTGGTCCCATACTGGCTTCCTTACATAAATTGGACATATCTGCTCCCGAGTACCCTTTTGATTGTTCCGCTATATTATTAACGTCTTCTTCGTTAAGATTGTGTGGAATCGTTATTAATAAATTATTTATGATTTGTCTGCGAGCTTGAAATTCTGGTAGAGGAACATAAAGTCTTTTAACGAGTCGTCTACGTGCTGCTTCATCTAATTCATGAGGTCTGTTTGTTGCTCCTATAATCAAAATACGATCTTCATCCCCAGTTGCAGCTCCATCTAGTTGAACTAAAAATTCAGTTTTCAATCTCCTTGAACTTTCATGCTCACTTTCAGATCTCTGAGTAAGCAATGAATCTATTTCATCAACAAAAATAACAGATGGCTGGTAAACTCTGGCAACAGTGAACAATGCTCTCACCATTTTTTCTCCTTCACCTATCCACTTTGAAGTCAAAGAACTTGCAGAGATTGAAAAAAATGTTGATTTGCTTTGAGATGCTATGCATTTTCCTATAAGCGTTTTTCCAGTACCTGGTGGTCCAAATAATAAAATTCCTTTAGGTGGTCTACGCAATCCCGTAAAAATATCAGGTCGCAACATAGGATATACCACTACTTCTTTAATAATTTTTTTTGCATATTCTAAACCAGCAATATCGTCCCAAGAAATAATAGTCTTTGAGTCCATTATTTCATTTTTTATCAATTCAACCAATTTCGGTTCTATGTTTTTCAATCTTTCATCTTCTACTTCTGCTGTTCCATCAGTTTCATTATAGTATTTGTTATCTTGACCTTCTGCTTTTTCTTTATCTCTTTTAAGCGGACAAACAAACCGGGAATTAACTGATCCTTTACCACCTAAAGTTTTCTTCTGTGCAGGTTTGTTGGCTTTCATTTGTTGGGTATTTAATTCATCCCTAGCAGTCTTAAAATAATTTAATTTAGGTTTAGCCATATCAGTATCTTCTTTATTCTGATTAAAAGCTTGTGATTTTAACCTTGTATTATTTCTATACATACTGGATGGTTCATGATTATGTTTATATGTATTAGATGAATCTTCTCTTACAAATTTAGAATGCATTTTAGGTTCAACCTTAACAGATTTTTGCTGTGCAATATTTTGATTTTCTTGATTTACAAAATATGATTTAGATACTGATCTTTTAGTATAATTTTTTTGTACACTACTATTTTCTCTTTTAGAATTACTTGGCCAAGACATAGATCTGTTTATTTCAGAACAAATGTTATCTTCAGCCTTTTTTTGACTATTCAAATTACATGATCCCTGATTAAAATTTGATTTAACCTGACCACTTATTTTCCTGTTTCGTACTAACATTTCTTTATTCTTCCATGTGTTTATAATATTCTCTATGTGTCTGTCATTAAATAATCTCCCTTGACATGGCATTGTGCTATTGTCCTGACAAGGTAGAGGCTTTACAAAATTAAGTGCAATATCTGGATCACTTAAACCAGACTTCCATTCTTGTGGATTATTGTTAATTTTTGCTGTTTGTACCTTGAACTGTTTCCAGTAATTATTTACACCATTCTTATTTTCCATTAAACTCTGATAATCTTCTAAGCTTCTTCGAAGTAAACAAGCTGCCATATCTTCTGATTCTCTGCAGATATTTTTTTATTAATAACAAATATTATTGTATATGTTATAAAACTCATTTAAGTATAAATATATTAGATAGAACTTCAAAATAATGAAGAAAAAGATACGGTTATGAAACTTACACCTGTTTTGCAGTTAAATATTTCATGGCAAGGCATCTGCGTTCAATGTCTACAATTTCTGTATCATCTTTGCCATTTTGTGAAAACTTTAAAATATGATATGCTGCTAAGAAATTATTCTTTTCTCTGTTATTTTTTGCATTAGTAATGTCCATGCCTACATTTAAAAAGGGAGCCTAATTTTCTGTATCAACAACTACAAGTTCAAGACTGAGCATGCTTTGTTTTTGAAGTGAATTTTTAAAAAGTTTGACAACGTCATCTAGTGGATTGGATCAGAACCAACTACATATTACTACGAAGGCATCTCCAATTTTGTTGGATCTGTAGTCACTGGTTAGAATTTGAAACGTCTTCATTTATAAATGTGTAGTCTGTGACATAGTCACGTGATCATAGTAGTTGGTTTAAAATAATTTAAATTGTAAACAAATTGTCAAATTATAGCAATATGATTATAATGATCTAGAATCGGAGCATGTAAAGTAATATAGATAATTAAATTAAGTAACTTTATGAAATTATGTACAGGCAGTTTCAGTCATAAATCTGAAAAGCGGCCCAAAAAAAGACGTTAAGGAAAACGCGGTACTAAAAGTAAGTATTTTAAACAATTTTAAGTTTTACACCACTTGTTCCTTAATAAACTTATTTCATAAATACATTCTTCGTATAATATTTCAAATAAAATTTTAGTATTTTAATGAAAATAGGAGGCATTGTTATAATTGACAATTTCAATTGAATGTAACTGTTATTACTGAACTGTGATGGAGCAATTAAAATGGACAACGCCAATCAAAAGTCAAAGAGAACATGACAATTTAACAACTAAAAGTCCTGTGATGTATAAGACTCCTGTAAAACAATATGAAGCAACTTGCAAACATACAGCGTATCAAAATAACATGGGTTGTATCTCTGTTCTTCCAAATCATATTACACCACCATCAGGATTAACAAAGTTCATAGCAAGAAATCCATTTGAAAGTGATTTAACTAATAGGTTGCATTTATCCATGATGAGTCCTACTGTATTCAGTAAAGTAATTCTTTGAAACATTTTATTTATTAAAAATTATAACTTGTATTTACAATTACATTCATGAATTATATAATATCAATAGGTTTCCGGCACATCCCAACAATCTCCAGAGTTTTCATGGAGCGTAGATGAGCTGGCATTAATGCAACCAGCAAAGATAGAAGAATTTCCTACCCAACAAATATATTGTACAGATCCAGAGACTGAAATAAAAGCTCAAGCAGCCATTGATCAATTTTTTAAGAAGGACAAAATAATCCCAAGCCCGTGGGAGATAAAGAAAAAAGACAACAGAGCTAAAATTAAAATAGATACACCTGTAGAAACCCTGAGCGATTCGAATTCAGAATCATCTAATTCTAAAAAAGATGGTATTTATTTGATTAAATGTTAAGAAATCTATTATTAATATCCTAATATTTATCTTCCTTAGGTTGGTGTCAAACAATATTAACATTTCCAGCTGAATTACCATCGCATATTGCTGAAATTCTGAAACCTTATTTCAAATTTACCCAAGTAAATAAAAACGAACATTTAAACTAAGTTATATGTATGCACAAATCTGTTACTAAAATTTAAGTTCATTTCTAGGATCAGAATGTTGAGAATGATGATGCAAATTTGAGTAATAATTCATTGAGAAGAAAGTTATTCTTTAACCAGGATGATTCTTTAGAGGATAAAGAAGAAACTTCAGTTTATTCATCATCAGTGAAAATGAATGGATCTTTGGTATTATCTTCCAGTCCTCCAGAGAGTGGAATGTTGATCCATGGAGCTCCAGTAAAGGTTCTTATTAACTTTCATCATTTAAAATACATATGCTGTAAAGTATGTAATAAGATTTCTTTTGCGCAACAGTCACAGAATATGGATTACTGTCGTGATACATCCCAAATCATCCCTAATATATCTCCAATATATAGTACAGTGAATATGTCTCGCGAAAATCTAAGATCACGATCTCGTTCAGTTGCTCGATTAGATTTTACTAATGACATGAGCATAGACGAATCTTTACAGCGTAGAGGATATTCGAGTAGTCATTCTCTAGGTATTTACTATCCAGTATTAAAAAGTATATTAAAAATTGTCACTTGGACGATAATATTACATTTATTATATTTTTCAGACGAATCACTTAATAAGATCGTCAAGCAAGTGGCAAAAAACAAAGTAGATAACTTGTTAAATTCAGATAGTAATGCTATGAGTGCAAAGACTGACGTTTGTACAGAAACAAAAGCTTCGGTGAAAAATCCAGTTCAGCAGGAAAATAATTTTGAGACTGAAAATTCCAAACTTGATTCTAAACATTGTAATGCGTTGAAATGTTTAACCGACTCTTACAGAATGATTACAAATGAAAGTTGCATGTTTCAACAAACTAATACTGCGCTAGGTATTTCAGATCAACATAACTCTGTACAGGATACTGGTTATCAAACTTACAGTATGAATAGTATAACAAATGTTACTAATAACTATAACGGTACACCGGTCAAACAGAAAGCTTGTTGGGGTGATCGAATTTTATTGACTGATGACGAATTTCGTCATGAAACAAACATAAAAAATATATTTTGCTCTACACCATCACGATCGAATAGGGAAACAGATATATATTTTAAGTAATTGTTTCCTATGAAATATATGGGTTTTACATAAGGACTTAAAGCAATTGTAGATATTGTATTGATATTTATACATGAATGGTCATTTTATTATTCATACTTTTCATCATATTTACTATTTTATCTCATCATACAAACATGTTTTGTTTTTTAGTTGAAATTTATAGCATATAGACTTTAATATTTATAAGATAATTATAGTAAATTCCAGCTTTTCACTGCCTCATATAATCTATAGTATACATTCTTACTAGAAATGATTAAAAATGATAATGCATTTGTTTAGAATAATTGATATACAAGTAAATTATATGAAAGATTATACGAATGTTTTCTAGAGCAAGATTTGAATTTATAGCAAATTTGTACAAATAATGAAAATATAGTACATTGTTTATATTAAGATGTACTCTTATAGATGACAAATACATTATTTTATTGACAAATATAAAATACATTAATTATTTATTGAAAAATTTATAATTAACCATGATGAACATCTAATAACATAATTCAATTGTTCCTACAAAACTGATCAATCATTTAGGCTAACATTATTTCCGAAATTTCAAGTAATTCTAAACTGCTTCATTATTCAACTTCCTTGTAATCTTGACATTAACAGATCGTCCAGTTAATATGAGCAACGATAAAAAAGCATGTGTTTCTGAAACGGGTGAAAAACTGTATACTCTAGAAGTGTTCGTGGATTCCGTCAACATGTACTCCGAGAAATTAGACAAGATTGATGCTGCTTCATTGGGCGTTGATTTAAAAATGATAGATATGCCGTTGTTTCGAGTCTTTCAAAGTAATTTCTTATTGACCAAACCAGACAGGGGAAAAGAGAAATCGTACGAAACTGGATTTTGCACGGTTGCCTTCAATTGCGGGAAAATGTACATGTTCACCAGAAATGCTGGCGAACTGGTAGAAAAGATGCGAGAGAAACCAATGTTCTTGGATGTATACAAAATCAAAGACATAATCATCTGTCCCGAGGAGGTGATTAAACATCCCTTGGGACACACGACAATTCCCCTTTCAGGTTGCCTCTGCGATCACGCAATGATGGCGAGCAATGATATCTATCATTTACCTTCATCGTACCAAATAAAAAACATGTTTGCCCTCGTGGACGACGAATACCATCCGGCTGGTTTTATAACACTCTTCATCAGATTAACGTGTTTTGGAACTTATACAACCACCCCGTTTGCAGTTGTAGAGAAGAAGTTGCTTTTTAAGAATGTCGGATCATTCAACGAATTTCTATGTACCAAAGTACCATATTCGGACGAAGATGAAAGAAGAGCCGCAGAAGCGAGTACAAAATTTTGTTTGCCCGATATGATCTTCGAAGAAAGCGAACTGGACACCCCTCCAAGAACGATCAACACCGCTGGTCTCGTGTTAGTTTGCAAAGAATTGTCCCTGAGAGATGGATCTCCTGCTAATATAATTCATCCAAATTATCCACGAAAAATCCCAGATGTAAACGTCGAGGAAAGAGCGTTCGATGTCGACAAAGCACGTCGCAAAGGATTCGAACAGGCGGTGTTTCAGGAACCTGACATCATCATCGACAAACAATTTATTTCTACACACAGGGAATGTATCAACCTTGGTTGCGCTGGTAATATTTGTAGTGGGAAAAAATAGACTGTATAACTATAAAAATAGAAAAAATGTAAAAAAAATGTGAAAAAAAGTAATTATAAAATAAAAATTGTATTAGAAGAAAAGAGATATCAAAATTACATGTATCTAAATGAATAAACTATAAATGGAGAAACTAATGAATGAAGTTTCAATTGTAAATCCATCTGTGAAAAAGAAAGGAAGAGATTAAATAATAAAACTTTCATTCAAACGAGAAGTTTTATAACGTTCACTTTTGTTTAATGCACACATAGCTTCTAAAGATGTCGCATACATAGGTGTTCTCTCCTTTTCTCTTAACTGTGTCAAACTGTGTCGAACCAAATACAGTGGAGTGTGTACTGTACAACAAGTGACCACTCCTAATCATGAAATTCTTTCAAAGGTTCACTCAACGAGCTTAAACATTATTTTTATACAAAACGTTCGTTTAAATATTTTTATTATTTGTGATGTATTAATTTGATGAAAAAGAAAAAAAGTAATTCTACCGAGGTAAGTGAGAAAGAAGCGCTAGTCAACAAGTGTGCGTTTGGGCGTTGACCATTAATTTTACTCACGCTTAATGACATAATAGTTTGTTTTGTTTTTGCAAAGAAATAAAATTTTTTATACTTGTAAAGTATCATGCGTATTTACTTGGTGTGTATTATAGAAAATGTGGATGTGGATATGGATTTTGATCTTAACCTTCGCTTGCGGGAATAGTCAGCTCTCCCAAGAGTCGACGGAATCGACGCGGCTTCCTTGGAACCGATTCGATGACAGAGATCCATCTGTATATGGAACACGAAATACTGACAGGCTAGGTGATAATGTTCTAATAAAAGAGGCGTAAGTTTATATTGATTTTAATTTCAAAGCATTAATGATAATATCAAATTCTAAAATATTCTGTTATTTGTTTATTTAGCACATACTTTGTTGTTGCCTCTAAAATGGTTAGACCAGGACAAATCTATCGGGTGGCTGTAAATGTCTTGTATAGTCCAATACCAATGACGATACGTGCATCTATTCAAAGAGATGGTGTGGAAATTGCTTCAGATTATCAGGAAGTAAAGGAAGATATACCGCAAACCCTGATGATGAAAATGCCTCCTACTTCTGTTGGTGGAGAATATAAATTGAGAGTAGAAGGGACGTACAATAGTTTGACCGGTGGTCAAGCATTTTTAAACGAAACAAAACTTATATTCTCTCAGAGATCTATGAGTATTTTTATTCAGCTGGACAAGCCTGTATATATGCAAAAGGAAACTATAAGATTTAGGACTATACCTATAAACACTGAACTTAAAGCATTCAATAATCCTATCGATGTGTACATGCTAGATCCGTACAGAAGAATAATGAGAAGATGGTTAAGTAGACAGAGCAATTTAGGAACAGTATCTTTGTCCTATCAGCTCTCCGATCAGCCTGTTTTTGGAGAATGGATTATACAAGTAATAGCACAAGGCCAAGTAGAGGAGAAAACGTTCCTAGTAGAGGAATATTATCAAACGCGTTTCGAAGTTAATGTCACCATGCCAGCATTTTTCTTTGATAACGACCCGTACATATACGGAACGGTTCAAGCAAATTACACGAGTGGTGCACCAGTTAGAGGAAATCTAACCCTTAAAGCTACCTTTAAATCTCTTGACAGAAGGTCGCCGGATGTTGCTCCTGAATCTATCGAAAGATATTTCTACTTTGACGAATATTATCCTTCCTGGTTAAAAATACCTTCTTATTTTGACAATAAGATTCCCGTGCTAAGATTTTTTAACGGAACCTATCATTTCAAGTATCCAATGTCAGAGTTACTAACGTTTGTACCTGCTGCAAGCGGAGCAGAGATCACTGTTACCGCTACCGTTGGCGAAAGATTTTTAGAAGAAATAATATCAGGGTATTCCACGGCTCGAATTTTTAATTCAACCACGAAAATACGATTCTTAGGCGGAACACCGCAAGTATTTAAGCCAGCAATGCCATTCTCTGTAAATTTAGTGGCATCGTTCCATGATAATTCTGTACTAAGACCGTCGCAGTTAAAAGGATCAGTAATGGAAATTCGTGCCGACATTGAAACGAGAACAGGTGGTCGCAGAAATTTAGAAACTCAGTATCTGAAGCCTACACCAGATAATGCAGGTATCTGGTCAACAAGGATAGATCTAAGGAAACAACTTGGGCTTGATCACAGCTCGGATCATGCTCAGCAAATTCTTAATGATATTTCTTCTATGAGAGTTTATGCATATCTCACTGATGGAGAAGGATTTAGAACACAAACTGAATTATTATTATTGGCACATGAATCTCCAAATCAGCAACAGATAAAAATTTCAACATCTACCGAGAAACCTAAAGTTGGGGAATACATGATATTTCACATACAAACAAATTTCTATATTGATACATTTAATTATATTATTATGGCAAAAGGTATTATACTTCTTACTGGACAGGATAGCATGCAACACAATGTGAAAACAATTGCTGTCCCTCTCAGTGCGGAAATGGCTCCAGTTGCAACTATAGTTGTATATCACATTGGACAGTATAGTAACGTTATAGCAGACTCCTTAACTTTTTCTGTAAACGGTATTTCACGGAATAATTTTACCGTGTACATTAACAATAAAAAAGCTAGGACAGGTGAAAATGTTGAAGTAGCTATTTATGGTGAACCTGGAGCTTACGTTGCTCTCTCAGGTATAGATAGAGCTTTCTACACGATGCAAGCTGGAAACGAGTTAACATATGCCAATGTAATAACAAAAATGGCACATTTTGACGAGGAAACAAATGGTACTCAATCTCATACTTGGTTGTACCACGACGGGGATCCAGACGAACTTGTTTACTTCCCATCTTCAACGTTTGGTATTGATGTTAACAGAACATTTGAGTATATTGGATTGGTAGTTTTTACAGATGCTTTCGTTCACCGAAGACCAGACAATTGCAATGCAACTCTAGGACTCGGGGAATGTCTGTCTGGAAAATGTTATAGATTAGATAAAAAATGTGATGGAACATTTGATTGCGAAGATGGAACCGACGAGGCAGGCTGTGAACATAGAAATCTTACGGATGTAGCTACTTTTAGAAAATGGCGATTTAACAGAGTACAAAGATTATATGAAAATGTCTGGTTATGGAAGGACATTAATATTGGTCCCCATGGTAGATATATCTTTAATATAGACGTACCACGAAGACCAGTTCAATGGATGATCACAGCATTCAGTATGTCACCGAGTATGGGTTTTGGTATGTTACCAAAGGCTATTGAATACATGGGAATATTGCCATTTTATATTAACGTAGAGATGCCTACTCACAGTAGACAAGGAGAGCAGATTGGTATTCGTCTTTCTGTTTTCAATTACCTCCGCTACAACATAGAAGCTGTAGTAGTTTTGGCTGGTTCAAAGGATTACAAATTTGTCCATGTAGAGGATAATGGTATTGTACAGTCGTACAAACCTCGTACATCTTTTGGCGACCATCAGTTCTTCATTTGGATTCCCGCACAGGATGCTGCTATCGTATATTTGCCTATTGTACCTGTACGACTTGGAGATATAAAAGTACACATATATGCTACAACTGTAATTGGAAGAGATTCAGTTACTCGGAATCTGCACGTAGAAGCTGACGGTCTTCCACAGCATCGACATCAATCTATTCTACTTGATCTCAGCAACCGAGCTTATGTGTTCCAATACATGCATGTTAACATAACAGAAACTCCGATTATACCTTACGACGAAAACCGTTACTATGTATTCGGCTCTAACAAGGCAGTGATAAGTTTAGTCGGAGACGTTGTTGGGCCAATTTTCCCAACGATGCCTGTTAATGCCACGAGTCTTATGGATCTTCCTATGGATTGTGCTGAACAAAATATGTTCAGCTTCGCTGTTAATTTGTATACAACGATGTATATGCGTTTAATTAATCAACGCAATAGAACGCAAGAAAAAGAAAGCTTTTATTACATGAACATTGGCTATCAAAGGCAGCTCTCGTTCATGAATCCTGATGGATCGTTCAGTTTATTCCGCAGTGACTGGAATCAGTCTGCACCGAGCGTTTGGTTAACGGCGTATTGTGCGCGTGTCTTACAGGAAGCACGTTTTTATGAATGGGAAAATTATCTTTACATCGATCCCGAAGTAATAGCTAATGCTGTATCTTGGATATTGAGGCATCAAACGGCTGAGGGATCGTTTTATGAAGTTAGGTGGCTACCGGACCGCAAAATGAACAGCAGTTTAAATTACGATTACGATATAATAACGCATAGAAATATTAGTCTCACGGCTCATGTTCTTATTACGCTACAAAGTGTAAAAGATTTGCCTGAAGGATTGGGAACTCAGGTTGCTGTGAGTGCTGCGAACGCAGTCAAATGGCTGGAAAGAAATTTGAAACTATTAGAGGACCGCGGAAAACCCTATGACATAGCAATAGTATCGTATGCTCTTTTGTTAGCAAAAGCTTCTACTGCAGGGCAAGCTTTTAATATTTTATCGAAACATGCACGTAGAGAGGGAGGTTTAACATACTGGGGCAGGGAACAAGTACCTCTTCCTCCTTATAAACTGGAAAATCAAAAGCCATTCCTCCTTCCACGTTTACCATATAAATACGATTCTGAAAACATTGAAACTACTGCATACGCTCTTCTGGTGCATGTTGCACGGCAAGAAATAATTATTGAACCTATTGTAAAATGGTTGAATTCCCAACGATTAACAGATGGTGGCTGGGCTTCTACCCAAGACACTGCATGGGCAATGAAAGCTTTAATGGATTACACAGTTAGATCGAGAATTAGAGATGTTAGTTCATTGGCCGTTACTGTAGAAGCTACATCTCTTCCAGGACAAACTAAAACATTATTTGTCAATGATAATAATCTAGCAAGGCTTCAGACTATCGAGGTATGTTCATGTGTGATATAAGAATTTAAATATTTTAATTATAATTAATTTCTGTTCAACTATTATAGATACCAGAAGCATGGGGAACGGTGAAAGTACAAGCTAAAGGTGCTGGGTACGCAATTCTACAAATGTCGGTACAGTACAATGTAGATATTGCTAAATTCCAAACTCAACCACCAGTCAAAGCGTTTGATTTGGTTACCAGAGCAAATTTCCATGGCAGAAATCAGTCACATATATCATACCTCAGTTGTCAGAGGTAGAAATATCCATACAGAAAGTATTTATTGATTTCTTGAATGTCTACTTACAGTATATAAATTTCTTTCATAGGTGGACAAATACGAATGAATCAGCACGCTCTGGAATGGCGGTATTAGATGTAGCCATACCAACTGGTTACATAATTCAGCAACAAACCTTAGATAGATACATTTTATCAAAACAAGTAAGAAATCTTCACAGGGCACGATTCCAGGAGAAAAAGGTTCTCTTTTACTTTGATTACCTGGACGAAGAAGAAACGTGCGTAAATTTCACCATTGAAAGATGGTTCCCGGTTGCAAACATGTCTCGATATCATCCTATAAGAGTTTATGATTATTATGCACCAGGTACATATATAATTTACATTAATAAGGATTATACAACATTGATACAGTTTATAATTTATGATTCATTCTTTTAGAGCGTTTCAATGAAACTATATTTGATGCTCTGCCAACATATACGTTGAATATTTGTGAGGTTTGTGGTAGTTCCCAGTGTCCATATTGTCCAATTTATAATGCTGCCACATTGTTGTCCACGCCAACAGGTATTCTGCTAATAGTATCTCTTTTAATTGTTTCATCGAGGTACTTTCGAATGCAGGAATTTATTATAAGAATTTAGCATATTATTTTTAATTACTCTAAGAAAAATTGTATCATTGATACCTTGAAGATATGCAATAGTTTCCACATCAATTAATTCGCCAAAGTATTATCTGATATTCATTTTAAAGTGGCTTTGATCAATATAATCAAACTGTATTATAAAAAAGTGAATAAAAAAATAGTGAAAATTATGGCAAATTTTCAAATGGTATTAATGGATTAATGCGTGTAACGTTAAAGTACCGTCCATAAATAAGTCTGCTTTATAAGAAACAAAATGTATATTATAAGATAACTTGTTGTAGTGCACGAGCGTTTAACCGCGCTTGTTCGTCAGAGGCAACGATACTGTAAATAGTATCAATTTTTATTTTTATTACTGAACAGTTTATAATAAAATTAATTATAAATTGTTCAGGTTTTATTCGAGCACAGTGTAGAAAGGCTGTATGTAAATTATTTATAAATCTAATTTCTACAAAGCTCGCTCGAGCAATCCGTCCAAAAGTATGTTTAACAGTTTTTTATAAACAGAGAGCAGCATTTAACGTGTGTTGAATATATTTTTAAGTTTTATAACCTTTATACAAATAAATTTATAAAAATAAAAGATAAAACACTATCTGTTTTATTGCTTATTTCATGAATAAGTAAAGTATTGTTGATTACAGGAATGGAGAAGACCCGACCAACGAATATTTTCGAAGCAATCTTTAATATAGCAATAAAGTCAGTCTTACAATAATAAGCCAAAAATACAATCTATATATCGAGCTTCCGGAGGACGGGCGAAATATGTATTTACTTCCTTTGTAATGCATACCCTTCATGGAAACCTAATTTTAGGACTACGAAAGAAATCGTGTTTCATAGGGAAGAGAAAACATACGCTCTTTCGCCCGGACCCCTGAAACGAATTTTACAATTTTACACATAATTATATGATGTATCACGTTGCGAAATTGTTCTTGTTCTCCCACGATACAGGTCTTGATGAACGAAAAAAATATAATTAAAGGCATGGAAAAGAATGTATGTAACACCGCATTATTTTAAATGCAGTAAGGGAATGATATTGTTGGTCATATTGTTGAACTTTCATTGCATCCTAGCTGAAAGATAAACGTTGCGAGGAGTGTATATTTTTGAATTGTTCAGTGCACTGAAAAATGCCAGATAATGATAAGTTAGAACAAAATTGAAATGTAGATATTTGAAAATAAATCCGTAATTAAGGCTCAATATTAATCCTTGAATTCATTTTCTAGAAGAGACTATTTAATTTAAACATTTTTTCCGGTTGTTCGGAATCGGAATTCCGCGGGTATGGGTTATGGATCGACCGGGCTTCACAGTTCAAAGGTAAGTAAACTGCTAAATAATTTTGTTGCGAATTTAGCTACAATAATTAAACAAATTTTTTATTATTGACTTCTGTAAAATACCGATTGTAATAATTCTATCTACGAATCATTGGAATAACAATATGCCCATGTCTAGCGCCCTTCGTAACCGAGAGTAATGCGCATGCGGTCTGATGACCACCATGGCGTTGAATAGAAACAATTTTAAAAACTTCTTTGTAATAAAACCTTATTAAATATATCGAGCATTAATTACAGATGATCTAGGACATTGATAAACAAAACTCGACCTAACCGAAACTATGACCAGGATTATAGGGAAAACGATCGATACAAATGCATAGAGATATATTATAATATAATAGAGTTATTTGATGAAACATTTAAAGCCTTACAATAAAATATACAGCAAGATGTGTATCGTCGCGTGTATGTGTGATTGAAATGTATGTATGTGTATCATGTTCTCGCGCAGAGAGAATAATATATTTTACGTCACACGTCAAATTTAATACACGTGTTCAAAAGATGCGTCTCAAAATATGCAGTTACGTTCACGATTCTTTTTTTTTCCTTATCTATTTTTCTCTTTTTTTTTGTTTATTTGCGATCTTTCATTTATTTCTATCTTTTTCCCTTGTTCTTGTTCACAGACAGAGAGATTGATACATCTTCAAGACGAGATACAGTACTTTGTGTACTCTAGGACTGAGAGACTCGATACGGCAGTAGTAGTAGTAGTAGTAGTAGTAGTAGTAATAGTAATAATTAATAATAATAATTAATTAATTAATAATAATAATCATTCTTATAAATTCTTACATTTCTTCGCACCGATAACGTTTCGAAGAATGTCATCGACTTAATTTAACATTATTTACTCATTTATTTATATTTATATTTATATATATAATATGTATAGCTCCCCCTCGTTCGCAACTTTTTTTTTTTCATTTCTTTCGTCATAGTGATCTTTTCATATATAGAATATTTTCGGTATACAGAACTAGTATCAAATTCTAACAGAATCGAGCTACGTAAAAATTGTTCCAACCGTTTTCGGAAAGATATGCATTTCACTTTGCATTATAACGCGCTCCTTTTCCCGAGCCCAGTTTTTTTTTCACTTTTCCTTTGTTTTTATTTTTTTATTTTTTTCGTTTTCCTACTACCCTTTTCTATTTTTTGTTTTATCGATCGAGCTAAAATTCTCAAGCTTCGCATCTCACACTCCTACAAAATCTTGTTTCTCTCATTTCATTATCATCATCATCATCATCATCATCATCATCATCATCATTATCATCATCATTAACCATTTATGATTAGGAAATTCATTCGCCTTTGTTTAATAAATCGATCGCACCATATCGTGTACTTTTTCTCGTGTTTAAATTATATATAATTATAAATCCCAGACTTTTCGTTCGATCAATTATAAAAATAAAAAACAAGATTCAAAGAGTCACGCTTTCTCATTTAACCATAATGCATCGAGATATATTTGATTTCTCACAAAATTCGTACATAGAAAAACTAAGGCATTTTCTTCTCGTTTCGCTACACAAAGAAATTATTATTATTATTACAAGGTAGAGATCTTTGATTCCAACACCAAGTTAAAAGCATGCCTCGCTAGAATGAATTCAATAATTCTAAACATCCACGAACTGGAATATATTTATAAAAATTCATTTAAAATAACAGCTTCAGTTTTGTACAGCGATTCCAGTATGTCATCTGTTAAAAAATTCATTAAAAATGTTATAATAAAACGAGTGTAATCGTTGGTGAATCGTTGCAGAAGTTATCAATCTTAAAATTCAAATACAAAGCGTGTGAATAAGTGGTTTTCATTCTTTTAATTAGAAAAATTCAACGATTATGCTTACAGCATTTTCAGGCAGTTAGGCGATTTAATACTTTCCATGATTTTTTTTTTTTTTTAAACAGACTTGTCTAAAAATAATGAAGAGAATATATTCTTCGACTATTGTGTTCGTTTAGGCTAGCACAGTTAAAAAACGATTAAGTTAGAGAGTCTTGTCTCGATATTAGTCATTAAAAAACACGAGATACACGTGGTAAAAAAAAGTAAAATACAGTCATTCATATTATCTTTCAGCTTTTTTTAGGAGTTTTTCCTATACGAGAGCTTTCCCCCATTATGTCTAAAAAGCTGATCATCAGATTATCATCATACTCTATTAAATTACAGTAAACGGACTACTATAGTAGTGTAAAATATTACTGCATATACAGTATATATATCGCAGCAGCAATATAGTAGTCGATGCAAGTAGATAAAGTAGCAATCTGCTGGCTGACTCAAACCCATTAGGACGATCTTTTCATTTTTACTGATCACTTTTTCTTATATTTTAAATGTTTTCGATAAAGTATATCTAAGCGAATGATATCAGGAAAAGAAAAAAAAAAAAGAAATCGTCCCAATGAATTGATGGCATCCAGTAGAGAGCATTCTCTCTAAATATACGTATGAAAAAATCAATCAATATATGTGTTTTGGTCAGTGTGAAAAAATAAAAATAATCAATTCTTATACTTCGTAAACTACTGTGGACCACGTTGAGATTGATATTTTGCAATTGGTTGCTTTTTTGTCTCCCTCTGCCTCACGCCCTCTCACTCTTGTAAACACCATCGAAGAGAATTCTCACTGAGATACGCGGATATGAATTCTTATGGGGGAGGTAAACGAGCTTGCCTTATCAAACCTGATTAAGCGTTTGTAAAAATTCGTTTCTGTTCTTCCTTTTTCATTTTTAAACAAAAGAAAAAAAGATTCTCTTTTTGTAGATTTGTTTTCATCTGCACACTAACATATAGCTTTTTTCCATTAACAGAGTAGATCGTTTTGATCGGATGAAGCCTCTGTCGTGCAGCAACAACGTAGATCTCTCTGAACAGCGAGTAGAATAGTTTAGAGTAGTACTTTTTACCTGGAAAATCTTGATGTTCGCGGGTTTTACACATTTGTAATATTTATATATATATATATATATATAGATTTATGTATATATATACGTGTATTAGAATTAATTAGCGCCGCTAATTCAGCTCGATTCTTTTTCTTTCGAATCTGAAAGCAAAAACAAAGAGGAGGCTCGTCAATCGAGGGGATGAATTATACTTTAAAAGAATGGAAATATTCGAAAGAAGATGGAATTTGAATATTTCCAATGTTTCTGGTTGTGCACAGCACAGAGAACTGTAAAATCGTTGGTCAATTGATCGAGGAACGATACACAGAATAATTTAGAAGTTTTGTTCGTTTTATTTACCGCTATCGGATTTGTCTTCGGATGTGCCGTTTGTCAGTTCAGGCTCTTTCTTCTTTTCTCCTTCCTCGGACTCGACGCTCGACGCTTTCTTCTCTTGGCTCTCTTGGCTGGCTGCTTTCTTGTCTTTCGCTTTTCCCTTGGCCGGAGTAGCTGGCTTCGGTTTCGGCTCGAGACTCGGATCCAGCACGATCTTACCAATGTTCTTGCGGTCGTGCATCTTCTGCATGGCTTCCGGCACGTCCTCCAGAGCCCACGTTGAGTCTACTACCGGCTTTATCTTACCCTCGTTCCATAACGCGAACACCCGTTCCACTGCTTTTCGAACGAACCCGTGGCTACCCTGCTGATACATCAGGTGACGGAGCTTGAAACCGGACAACGTTTTGTTCTCGTCGAACAGCTTGATGGGCGATACTTTGTCCACCTGCCACCACTGCAAAAGGAAATGTAATATTGTCAGTTGATTATCGTATGAAATTATTGATTGATCTCAATAATCTCTTTTCTATTAAATAAATTAAAACGCTTTCCAGAAAATTCCAATCCTCACGGATAAAATGTATATATTTTCAAAAAATTGAATTACGATGACATACTGATCGTGCTGCCGAGAAGAAACTCTTCGTTTCACCGGTGACCACGTTGCTAGAACCATAAAGGATGTATTTCCCCATGGGTTTCAGCAAGGCGTATCCCTTGTTGCATTCTTCGCCGCACAAGCAATCCAGAACTATATCCACGCCCTCCGGAGAGATCCTATATAAAAGGGAATCGAAATGAGTGATAAAGTAATGTGGCAAGATAACGCATAGAAGGAAGATGATCATGATGACTTATGATCGCATGGGACCTACTTCCTGACTTCGTTGGTGTAATCTGTACTGCGTTCCAAGAGATGATCAATGGTTCCAGCAGCTTTCAGAGCTTCGTGCTTCGATTTACTGCATACGCCAAAAATCGTCACATCCTTCACGGTTTTGGCCAGTTGAACCACCGCTTGGCCCTGAAACAGACGGTTTAGATAGAGGTAGACGTAAATACGAGCAATATTACAGATAAACTCCGCCCATTCATTTCTAACACGTAACCCTTAATCCTCTGACGGGGTGAAAAGAAGACATTTTCTAAAGTCTTTGGACGGTGAAGAGGACAGAACGCGATATACACACGCCGGTAGAAAAAGAAAGGAAGGAAGGGAGGAGAAAAAAATCGAGGGAAGCTGCTGGAGATTTTCAACAGAAGCAGCATTCATTATTTCCAAGAATCGAGAGGAGCTGACCACGGTGCTCTTCTTCTTCTCCTCTTGTGTCTGCTCCTTCGCCTGTTGTCGAGAATTCGATACCCAATAACGTTGACCAATCCCAGCAGGCTGGAGAAGCCAATGAGAACTCAAGGGGAAGAACAGCAAGAATTTAAGAAAACGAAAAGCAAAAAAATGAGAGAACGGTCCGAGGGTCAGAATGTTAAGAAGCCGTTTTAAATTGTACGTCATAAGAGGAGATGCCGAAGAGAGCATCTGGAAAATGCTTTCTAGCTCGTTTTTCTTTCAATCGTGAACATCGATGAAATAATTGACTATTGATTTCGGTTGAAATATGAAAAGGAAGCGATGAGGTTGATTACTGTGATATAATAATCCAAATTGGACCCCCTTTGTATATTCCTAAATTATCGTTGATGTTACACCATGGCCTTAATTAATTTGACGCGTTAATTACAATTTAGTAACAAAGATTGCTCGCTGTTTGCTCGTCTAACGAGTTATATCAAGTTCAGAGTTTATAGAATCATTGCAGATATTCAGGGAATGTATACGTAGAAAGGGAAGATACGAGTTCACAGAGGGAGGTAAAAAGGGAGAAAAGAGGGAAAAGTCCGACGCGTGATCAGGAAATGCAATTCTTCGAGTAAAGTGCTTTTTCCACCTCTCCTTGTCTACGTGACTCTGTTTCCGGTTTAAATCTTCTATTTCGATGATGTATATCTCTCAACACCGGAGGAATGTACAATTTCCTACGCAGTCAATTTTTACCAAAAGATGGAAGTATTTTTGCAAAAATATAAAATGAAATGCAACGACTAAAGAATTTATCCAAATCCAGTAAAACCCAGCGTCATCGTTAACCCTCTCTTTTCCCAATTATTCATATCGACTTTCACCCCAAAGCGGCGTAGAGACCGGAACACCGATACTCTCTCCTCGGTCTCTCGACGTCACACGACCGTCTCGAAGAATTTCTCATTAACGCGTCCACCCGAATTCCCTGATATCCTGAAAGCTCGCCCTACCGGGGGGTTTTAGCGAACGGCAGGAGACAATGGCGGTTGACACGCAAGCGTGTGCTTAGTTATTCGGTAAACAACAGGTCGAATAACAATGCTTCTACGTTCCGGAAGCCGGAGACGCGAAATCGAATTAAAGCTGTTCGTGTGAACGAAGCTTAAGAGGCAAACGCGCACGAACACGGGCTGACGGCGATGGTATGGGTCTCAGACGGGCGCGGCTCGTGACGGTGGTCGATGGAGAGAACGAAGGGTTGCCAGGCAACCCTCACACCCCCATCGTGTGCCACTCCTGCATCCACCATCAGCCAGTAGCAGCATCCCCTGTACAATTTCCTCTCCTCGTCTCAACTTCCAATGGTACAAAGAGAGGGATGAGAGATACACTCCGGTTCAGAAGTCACGGAACACCATTAGTATAAATGTGGATTACATTGAACCTTTGATTATTTGTTTCATACATCATCAGATAATGGTAACAACGATGCATTGTATTACACCTAAACAGAGAATTTCCTATGGTACATAAATTCTGACTTGTAAATTTAACCCTGAAATTGTAACTGTATAGGTCAATCCTGACCTATACCTACGAAATGTATACATAGTCTAAAATTAGATATTCAAATATCGTAAGAAAATAAAATTGTTGGTATTTCAATGGTACAAGGTTTAATGTAAAATTAACAAGTGTCCCGTGACTTCTGGACGGGGGTGTATGTAGTTGGTGAAGTCTAACCTGTTGAACCGTATTGATCCGGACGTTTCTGGTGCCGCCTTCTCCTTCGACGACATTGAGAGAGAAAGCGGTCTGCGGATGACTCGAGCAGACTCGAGCTCGCGAAGGGGCAGTAACCTTGCTCTCCTCTCTTCTCTCTCATTCCCGTCGTGTTCGGCTAATTAACGCGAAACACCGCGATTCATCCCATATAGTCTTTTTCCTTTACGACTTTACTCGAGATATGATTTTCACAGGAGATAACAACCTCGATAGGTTTTCACCTGGCTAGGGGATTTTACCTAAATCATTGCTACGATTACGCTCGAGCTTTTGTAACGGAGAAATTCAAATGATTTCAAACATTTGCATAAGATGGCTACATTCGACGTGTGACAATGAACTTGTTTTATCGTTAAAAGAGAAACTTAACTTACCACACCACCGCCGGCGCTGTGAAGCAACAAACTTTTGCCAGGCGTCAAATTGGCCAGCTCGAACAGCAGCATATAAGCAACGGTATAATTCATCGTGATCGCAGCAGCATCGAGGTAGCTCATTCCGTCTGGTAGCGCGAAAACGGATGTTGCTGGTACAGCAACCAGCTCCGCCCACGCTTTGTGATCCGGAAGTGCAACCACTCGATCGCCCACCTGAAACAAGTAGCCAAATGTTTCCTGTCGGTTAATTTTCCTTCGTTAGGATACGATATTCATATGAAAAGGTTCGTGTATAAATTCAACCAGGAATTCAACTCGTAGCTGTGCATTTTTACCCTAGTGATACGCTACGAGTTTACTTTACACCGAGCAAAGAATTGAAAATCCCTCTTCTCGAAGGGATCATCCTATAAAGCGATGGATAAACGAATAAAACGGAAAGAGAAGCAAACGATCGCCTCCTTATAAACGCAACAATGCTAAGAACTCGAGGAAGCACGAGAGGGAGGGTCTAGAAGAGGGCGCGTCCAGTACCGCGAAGAAACGAACTTGAATATTCCATCTGGAAGAGTAGTATGCTCGAAAAAGCTTCGCTACGCAGCTTTCTTCTCTCTTCATGGCCGGTCGTTTACACGTGCTGCTCGGATATCTGACCCTAAAGCCTTAAAGCTAGGGAACCCCCTCTTCCCGTGACCTCGAGGAGTTTCGCGAGTCGCGAAAATAGATCACCCCAGGGTGAAGAACGACAGAGGAAGGAAGGAAGGAAGGAAGGAAGGAACGCAGAGAGGGTTGGCGGGAAGAGAGGATCTTTTTCCTGCGACGCGACGTCTTCGAGTCACGGACTCGGAAAAGTACCGTGGGACTCCACCCTTGCGGAAAGATTAGTGGGTGAAAAATTCAAGGACGAGGTGAACGCGGAACGGTTATTTCGAGCAGGTCGTAAAAGTACCTCCAGGAAAGTTGCTTACGACGATCGAATCGATAAGGACTTTGTATGATTTTTAAGGATTTTCAATGATTTACAGTTAAAGTGTAAAAAATTTCAAAGTACGGATACAACTCATGACTATTTAACTCCTCTTAACTGATCACCCTGTGCATATCTTTCTATCGCTAACAATCCCATAAAATATGCACGAGTGACGTGGAACGGGAGGATGAGACGTAAAGAACAGTTGCTCGATACGATAATAAATGCAAATTGAAGCGAGCGTAACTCTCTTTTTTTTTCCCCTTGTACTACCGTAATATCCTCCCGTCGATAGTTATTCCTTTGAACGCAGAGACCGATTCCCATCGATTTTTCCACGGTCGCCAACAGGCAAAGAGGCACGTCTGTGCAATATTTTCCCGGAGACGCGGCGTGCACGTTAGGAAAATATTGCGTCCACAAAAGAAAAGCGACGTTCCCCAGACGGGACAGACGTTATTATCTTGTTAAACCGTGTTTCTTTTAAGGCGATGCTCTTAACTCTCGGCAATTCTTATCGCAAAAAGCTATGGAACCCCAAGATTTCGATGGTCCTTGTTTTTAACCCTTTTGTTAATCAGGTAAATTTTCTTTTAGACGGTTTTGCTTTTAGGTTTCCAAGGAAATAATCCGTATAGACTTATTGTTAGTCACAGTTTGTTACGTATTTGTCCTCGATTGTCAGGTTCAATTTTATCATTTTATCTTCCCTCGTAAATTCAACGTCCCTTACAAGATGACCCAATAAAATCACCCATGTCCACTGTTCACATCGGATTCACAGAACCCCCGTTTATACGTAACTGATAATCGTCAACGAGCAATCAGTGATACTCGATACCAATTAACGCGAAGAAATAAATTCATATCAGCTTCATTTAAAAGCGAGATATTTTTCAGAAATCAATACTCTTTAATTGTGCGAGACGCACGAATGTTAAAAAATATCTTGTCAACGAGAAATCAATTGTAAAAGAAAGCTCATTCGTTAACTTACTTTAAAGTTCTCCACGCCCTCGCCAACTTGCTCGATGTCACCTGCGCACTCGGATCCCATAATAAAAGGAGTTTTCGGCGGGGAATCGATAGCACCCTGTCTGGCCATCAAGTCTTGGAAGTTCAATCCACTGAAAAACAGACAAACACACACGTTTCTAATAAACCGTCAATTTAATCGACAAAGGCAATTTTTATTTCATCAAGTTCCTGTTAAATTTCCACCTGCGATTTTGGGACAGTCTGTACAGGTGCAATCGCGAATACGATCAATAGTAACGTTGCCTGCGTGACGGACCGATTATTCTATAATGCGCCGGGACAAACGGTTAAATTATCCGAACGCGTGTCAAAATATAATTACCGTCAGTTATCCAAAAAAAAAAAAAAAAAAAAATAAAGTAATGATATACAATAAATAGACTTTACCAGTAACCCTTCCCGAATAGGTATCCTAGGATGGCGAGTGCACACGCTTTTAACAGGGTTTATCCGGTAATTTCCACGAAATGAAATGACTAAAAAATAAGTATAATCGTGATACGATGACATAATGGTCAGCATTAGATGATTGCAGTTACAATATTATAAATACTTCAGTTACAGTGTCACGAGTGTTTATTAATAACAGGTGTTTTTTTATTACTGTAAACTTCATGGAATTGAAACCATTTGATATTTAAGCTTCTTTCATTCCGTGTAACAGTTCCCCGGGTAACAATATGAATAAATAATGTTATTCGACAGAACACATTTCCAATGAATACACATAATGCGGTTTTTCCAGGAAGGTACAGGCGTCGAAGCAAGGAGGCTTTGATAAAACGTATTTCATGGTCGACATCGAGAGAGGCGGCAGTCGCGCGTTGCGTGCGACGCCAGGCGTCGGAGTCTAGGCGTCGTGGCGCCTCGACGTTACCCCTCTGTCTGTCAGTGGGATCGCAAACCGTAGGGTAAGAAACTCGAAGGTAACCGCACACGTGTATTTATATTGCACGCTCTTGAAACCTCTTATTTCAGCCCTCTCTATGTACAGGGTGTTATAAAAGTAGTGTAAGAGAAAAAAAGAAAAATTGTTATTTTAATTTTACATATGTTACTTGTTAAGAGGATAAAAAGTTCTGGAGAAACCATATGTTGGAAACGAACTTATCTTGTTGAATGAAGATAAAAGTAACCGAGTATTGCTGATGTTATTAATATTCGAAAAAAAGAATTAAAAATAGCAGAGCCGCACCTGGGCCCCCATAAGACGATTTCGCGTCTAAGAATGCAAGAATGTTTACTTGAATATTAATCGATGCAAATGCAAATCTAAATTAGTTATAAATTTTATTTGAGCTACTTTTTTTTATCTCAGGCCCGGCCCTGAAAAATAGCTGCAACATTTGACAGTTTCCTGCGTCAATAATTTTAAGCACGAACGAAACACGACGATAACATCCCAACCATATGACTCACTCTGCTAATGCAAGTTGAGAAAAGCCTCGTATCAGTTGATTCTTTCACAGTGCATTTTCCTGCGAGATGCATCATAAAATTTTATCACTCGCACACGCGTAATTTCCTGCTAACAATCGTCGCGATGAATCACTGCACTTGAATCGAGAGAAACTTCGTACAAGGTCATGTATTCGGAGTACAGTAATATTATTCGAATTTCCTTCAATTACGCGCGGCTGTTATAAATTAACGCTCCATTTTTCTAAATTTCAGCTCAATTTAACTCGACGTTTATCAGAGGAAATCTGACATTCTCAGGTAAAAAAAAATAGCGTCAACGTTTCTGTCAGGGGTAGCCATACAATTTCCACGAAATCCATTAAATTCGCGTCCAAGTGAAACGTAACACGCGTCAATTGTCATTTCCCCGGGACCAAATGTCGATAAATTCAATGTCCGTCGAATTAATGAGTTTCACCGATGATTCGTTGCATTCGATGTACTTTCATGCGAGAACTTTGCTTTCGTTACGAGTGCCAGACTCCTGGTAAATGACATGGAAATGAATGTTGTTTGCTTTCATCGAATTTCACGGGGAAAAGAAAGAACTTTTGTTCGTGCTTCTGACAATGAGCAAACGTGTTCGAGGAACTCGTTCAATTATCCGTGCTATCTTTCTTTGAACGATTCGTTCATTTTTAGTACCGTGCATTCAATTATACGAATCAGAAACATAAATTAACGAAGCGAAGAATTAAAATCTTAACAAGATTTCGTATTTGAACCCAGAAACACGTAAACCAACGTTGATCCTAGAATCAACAGAAAGAGATACGAGTTTACCCTTAAACCAACACCATAGACAAATATTAAATACACAAGAGTATACACCGTAAACCTACTAACACCTAGACATACAGCAAAGAGAAAGAGGAATTTTGCCAGCAGTAATTAAGATGAAATTTTGAAAAAAAAAAAAAAGACCATCGGCAAGGCTCTACAGTTCTGCATAATAAACGGACTTATATACATATTTCTCGTTATTATCATCAGTAACCGGATAGGTTGTACGTGATTTAAGGCCGATCGCCTGACACGAAACATTTTCATTCATAGGAAGAGACGCTTAATCGGCAATTACATTCGGCAGTAGATTTATCGCTCGTTGTTTTCAATCGCGCTCGACGTCGTTCAACGACTCCGCTTGAAAACAGGCTTTATTCAATCTGATCCTGAAATTGAATTACGGATAAACCCCTTTCTATAACCATGTTAAATCAAAGGCGTGCAATTCATTTTCCCTGGTTAGAAAAATTAAAAAAAAAAAAATTGACTGGCTTTCGATCGCAAAAGATTAATTTATTTAGGTTTGGAATTTGGAAAGTTACAACCGTCGGTAAGATAATTATCAACGGATAAAGATATCGAAAAATGCACCGACGCTTACTTCGATATTGAAATGCAACACCGTTTTCGTTTCCCCTTGATATAACTGGTAACAAGCTGTCGCGTGCAACTGTGCAACCCACGGTTTTAAGTTCTCGCTGTCAGAAATAACGCAGTGCCACAATGTCGTCGGAACAGGATGAGTAACGCACGCACTATTTGGCAAATATTTGTGCGGTAAAATTTCTACCGTCCGCCGCGAGAACGTCGTGAAAGTTGAGTGTAAAATTTCGAACGACTTCGCTTAAAAAAAAAAGCGAATGCGCGGTGGATAAATGAAAATTAGCCGCTTTTCTTTGTGCGATTTCGCGCGTTTTCCGAAGCGTGACGGCAACCTGCATTGTGTTTAGTAATAAAAACGTTTGATAAGAAAAACTTCGATTACATTTTACTTTCATGTTACGAAACCCTCCGTGGTTCGATATAGAAACTAGAGCAACTTTGTTAAAGTTAATACAGAAACTTTTAAATCTACCACGATCTTCTCACGACCAATAAAACAGCATTCCAAGGATGATAAAGTGAGTTAACGGAATCCAGCGGTTAGATACACGACTATTCAGACAAAGTCATCCTATGCTCTTAAATCAATTGAAAGCAGCATTTAAAAACCCTGAGGAATAAAATGTAACGAGCCTCTCAGGCTGCTTCTATAGCGTGGTTCAAAAGGGTTTACGACTTAGAAAATAAAAAGTATGATCATAGAAACCGAACTCCCGATTTACCAAGGTTCCCAACGGTGGAAAGGGGAGAAAGGGTTCCAGGAGTTACGGGATTGCTACGTGAGATCGCGATCGCTTAATTCCTTGAAATTACATGGAACTGAGGGGAATAATTTTCTCCATTCTTGGCATCGACCAAATTGTACAGGGGAGGAGAAACCATCGACATCGACGACGACGACGACATGCAACGACGCACCCCAGGGTCACGCACACCATGTGCTCCGAAACAGAGATGACCATAAGAAGAAAGTATAGAAAGAAAGTAAAAAAAAAAAAAAAAAATGAATAGAGTCTGCTACCATTTGCTTTAGGCTTTGGAAGGAACCTCTCCTTTTACACTTTCTTCAACCCTTTCGCTCCTACTATCATCTAGCGCGTATTTCGAATCGCTCCGCTTGATCGTTACAAAACGGAGCGTGAGAGAGGCGGAGCGAAGCAAAAGGAAGTGGTCGAGAGTGTGCGCGAAGGGCCAGGGTATAAAAGAAAAGGAAGAAGATATAAAGGAGAACGAGTACGATGAACAGCGTGAGAGTTAAACACGCTGTGTATGATTCGAGAGAGAGAGGATCGAGAAGCCGAACAACGATCGTGCGTTTAAGACCACTGTCGCCGTAGTTTCAATTGCTATTACACGCGGTTGTTAGGTGATAAACGTAGCAGGCGTACTTACCTGCTGCAACGTGGCCGGTGGCGGTCGCGATCGATCGTCGGAGAAGACATCGAGGCGCCAGTGAAACCATAATCTGCCGGTTGAAATCACATGCACGAATCTCGCGTGACTCCGATCCACGTACGTACGTATATCGGGATTGATCGAGCTCGTGAATAAAACTGTACACCCAATTATCCGGCGACGCTTGTCGCGACGATTCCTGCGTATCGCTCGAGAAAGTGGAAATTGATTTTTAACACGCCGACATCGTGGCGTCGTTGCATCCTGGCATGGGGGAATATGGAATTGTCTATATTAAGACGCAACATACGCGTCTATGGTAATTTATCTAAAGACACACCGTGTGCGTCATGTGTATAAAAATTAGCAAAAATTCTATAGTGTTCCCAATGTTCACGCATTAAATTAAAACTTTCCATCAATGGTGTTTTCCTGTTCTTAAGTCATCGCTGTGGAACTTGGCGGTTAAGAAGACGTTTACTTAAGACAATTAATATGCTTCTGAGTAGAAACGCATTACCGCCAATTATCATCCATAAAACTTCCCAAAGCAACCCGCGAGAAAGAAAATTAACACATTCGCGTACGATGACGTAGATTCTATTTAAATAAACCCTTTTAAATATTTTCTGAAAAATTTGTTTTTAGTTTCATATGAATTTTTCCCCGCTTTAATTATAAAACCCGATTGCTTCGGAAAGTATGAAACTTTTTGTAATTTAAACGTGCCTCCTGGGCGCTCAAGTCGAATCAAAATTATTCGTTAGAATATTTTTTTACGTTTCAACTTGGTGTACGTTTCCACTGACGTGTTATTTGATTTGGAGTAAGGTATTATTACTCC